TGTCGTTGCTGCTGCTGTTGTTGTTGCTCTTGTGATTCTTCTTCTTGTTGCTGTTGTGTTTGCTGGTGCTGGTGCTGGTGCTGCTGCTGGTTGTCGCGGCATTGGTGACGGTGTTGGTGTTTGTGTTGTTGTTGGTGTCGGTGTCGGTGTTGGTCTTGCTTTGTGTTTGTTGTTTGTTGTCTGGTGATTGTTGCTGTAGCTGTTGCTGTTGGTGTTGTTCCTGCTGCAGAATCTACAGAAGCTAGTTAATCTAATATCTAGTTGGCTTGTATGTGCTCTCGTAGCTTATAAACATAGATGGCCTGCAAGCCCGCGGCCTCACAGAGCCAGTGCATCGCTCCAAGCCGCATCTAGTTTCTTGCGCAGTCTTGTACCTACTGTTCGGCAAAAGCTCATGGCTTATCAGTGATCTACAAAGTCGCAGGCGCTCGCAGACATTCAGCTAGAGGATTCATACGACACGGCAGGGGAGAAGGACGGTCCCAGCTTGGAATCAAGTTTATGCAGACCCTGCCAATAGCAAGTATCTGAATGCAAGGTCTACAAGTCACGGCCTTTGAGCCCGCGCAGCCTGGCCGTCCTGCATGATCTTGTAGGCCACAAGGCCGGCTTCCCCTTGTGCCTTGCGGATGCCTGCGTAGGGCATGAAGCTGTCCAAAAGCTATGCTGAGATGGTGGGCTGGCACAATTTTTTCATCGAGAGCGTTCTGTCTTGTTTAGCGTGTACGGCTGTGCAGTGTAGTGAGCGCAGTGTGCAGATGTATATAATGTAGGTCCTGTTGCGCCATGCTGTCGACAACGGCGTTTGAGTGCTGCGTGAATGTTTATGGAGGGGTTATTATTTTTGGCCTTTTTTTGTTGTTTTCGTCTCTTTTTCTGTGTTTGGCCTGCGGGGCGTGGGTTGGGTGGGGTGCAGGGGGGTGCGGAGGCTGCGGGGAGCTCGCGAGGGGCGGCGGGGAGGGGGACTTCGATGCAATATACGGTTGGAAGCCGCATACCGTATTGGCATGACGTAGATTAGGCTTGATGCGATCTGTCATACAAGCATTGTAGTATTCTATCTTATGTTGATATTCATTCGCCATGATATGTACATTGAGGTGAAACAAACCCTTACAGTCTCACATCAATAGGAAGTTCCAGTTTTGGTAATACTGCAAAATATGTTACAAGTCTGTCGAACGTTATATGACAAAGACTCGTATTGCTATATGATTATACGAATACTATATCAAGACTAGGCAGAACTTGGCTAATATGTTAACAGACAACTGCTCTTACTTACGGTAATTCTTCTGCATTAAGAATGTTGGTATTTGTTTCTATTCTGCTATGGTACAGAATCGTATATTTTACAATAAAGCCCTACCGCATATTATATACACCGTATCATGTTGTATTCTACTCTGTTTGGCAATGCTATCTTATAATGCAATGTCATATTCGATTATTATCATATAGCGTATATAGATACACAAAACCATGTATAGATAGACTATAGGATAACTATACTATGTTGTCGTGTGTTACATTATTGTTTGAAATGTTTCTTGTTGTACGTAAAGACTTGGACCTCGAGCCCCCCTCCCCGCCGCCCCCACGCCTCGCGAGCTCCCCGCACCCCCCTGCACCCCACCCAACCCACGCCCTGCAGGCCAAAACAAAAAGCCCAAACAAAATTCTCCACCCAATGTTTTCGGTGTGCTTCAAGAACGTGTTCAGTTGTGTTGTTCTTTGCTACTCGGGAAGCCGGAACCAAACTGCTCTTGTTGTAAGAACTCTGTGTGCGCCTAGTGGCCTAGCGGGCATTTCTGCTCGTCCTGCGCCTCCTGGTGCTGCTCTTCTATGATTTCTTAAGTATCAGTTCTAAATTAGCTATAGTTGTTCCAAGCTAAAATATCTGGCTATTCTTCTATTTATCCTTATGTTAATCCTTATTTTCTTCCGCTTTGTTTCCTATTTTTCCTATTTCCTATACTATTATAAACCCTCAAACCCTATTTATTTCATATGTTCCTCCTATTTCTGCAATTCTAGGTTTCTCCAGCATTAGCACCACTGAGATTGACATAAATTTATCCTTGTTATATACACACATGACATACAGTTCTTTCGCAATTGAATCACGTCGCAGACAGGCTTGTCATTGCCAGCCTGCTTCCGATGCCTCGGACCTGGACGAGTCCCACCAGGATCGTGCTTGACATCGCCCATCCCATGCGGGTAAGGAAGATTGCAAATGCATGATTACTGACTTGCCTTGAATTTTGAATGTGCTCCGCACGCTCACATCTGACCCCAGATGTCGCAGTGGAGGGAGGGTGTGGTGCTTGTTCCAAGGGAAGTAGCAGTCTGCGCGTGGTGGCGCGAGGTGACATCCTCACAGGAAGCCATGCCTGAAGCAGTCACATGACACAAAGGTCTGCGGTGGTCGTAGCTATACAATACATCGCCGCCTACTTCTGAGGCAGACGTAAAGAAGATGGAAACAACAGCGAGAAGTCAGTGAACCGTCTCTACATCATGTTCCACGATCCGAAGCCTAGTGTTCAACCACCTGTCACCGACCTAGGCCTAGGAAACCCACCAGCACACGCACTACTCATGAGTGGTAAGGAGAGCGCCTGTACTTTGTTGTGCTCGAAGCCAGCTCTAGCAATGCCCTCGAGCCGCGATTCGAGTTGAGGAAGTGTTATCACCCCGAACCTCAAATTTGCTTCGCCGACTCAAGACCACTGCTGCCTCGCCTGGATTGAATTTGTTCGAGTGTGAGCGCCGATATCCCAAAACCACTCGCCCCGCACGGGAAATGGGAAAGGAAGACAGAGGATGCTTCGATTTGCCAGGAGCCGGAGCGGCTGAGCGAACCGGAGCCTCAGCCGGGGCCGTCCGAGGTGGAACCAAAGCTCCCGAGGTGCCCTGTCAACTGAAGATAGGACGAGAGGACTTCTTGTGCAGTAAACCTTTACAGAGGATGTGTAAGTATATAGACTAGAGGATATGTAGAACTTAGGGAGCCCTTCCCCACGAATCGCACGGCTTGGAGCATCTGCGGCGTCTGAAGGCAGAAGAGCGAAGTGGTCACAGATGCAACGGCCAAAGCAGGGACAGAGAGACTTGACAAGATTGATTTCAATTTCGCGGGGCAGGCATTGCTTGAAGAGCTTGAGAGGCTCAGGGCCTGAGAATCAAATGTCCTCAGGCACGAACAATGCGGTTAAAATTGCGAACCCCTGAAGTAGTCGAGTCGAAGAGCTGGGATGGACTCACGGCTCAGGCTTTGGAGAGCCGTTGCCGACCGGCAGCTGGAAGAGGTGTTCTGCAGTTTTCTCATGTATGAGACAGCACGGAAGACATACAGTGCAAGCTTCATGTTGACCCAGCACTCTGTTGTTGTTTCCGGGCCTTCGATTTTGAAGCCCGAAGGCATGTATTGCTTGCCAAAGCACTATTGCCTCTGCTACCGTTTAGCTTTAGCCGGTGCTTTGTCATTTCTGTCCATGCAGCCCCGTGCCGACAGAGGCCGAGACCGCTGTCCGCGAAGCCTCCTTGCGGAGATTGGAGACCGAGGCCAGGAGAGCGAACCGAGACACCATAGTACACGCATACAGATTATATCATACTGTGGTATGCTAGGACTATATGATATTGTATGACTCTGCATGATGTTACATGCTATGCCGGCCATACCGTCATGCTTATTGCGCTTTGACATGTTACTGGTAGATGATGGCACACTGCATTGCAATACATGCGGCAACACATTGCAAAGCACAGCCGAAGGTTTGGACTGTCATGCTCCGTCATGTGTTGTACTAAAGTAGGATATATGCTACAGGGGGTCGCTTTATCTCGCATCGCTGGGTTGAAATACGCATCGATGAGCATCCACACTCGGGAAACCGTTTTCAAACAATCACTTCTATTTGTGAACGATCCGATGGTTCCGCGTGGAATCGAGCGTCCAGATGGGGANNTGGGTTGGATGTGGTGTGCTGCCACTGACTTTCGTCTCGAGTGGGTGCTTGTGGAATCGAGCGGAATGGCTGCGTTTGATTGTTCTGCTGCCACTGATGAATCACATGGCCCTGCGGAAAATAGGTCCAGCTCATCCAAACCAGTCTGGGTCACACTGTTTTGCACGAGGTACACACACGCGCAAAGGCACACATACACAGGACATAGAGACAGAGACACACCTACATGGGCAATGGCTGGTTTGGGAGCGCTGTGATGCCACTGATGTGCGTCTTGTGCGTGCACCTGTGTCGGTGCTAAAATATGATTTAGAATGAAACGAAAAGTACTTGAACCCCCCTGCGTCCGCGGCATATCCTGAAGATTCAGCCTGCGCGAGTTGGAGACCGGGGATTAGCATCTGATGATGTGAATTCTCGCCGCTGATGTGTGATTCCTTGAAAAAGCGACACTCGGGTGATGGGTATTCTCGCCGACTGATGTGAGATAAACCCTACGATCGTAATATGTTCCAACATATTGCAGTGTCATGGAATGTGCTATGAAGCTCAATATAACGGAAATCTACTTCATTACTTCATGTCTTGTCGTCGCCGGTGTGTTGTCGACCTGTCATGCGTATAAGGTGTATGACTAGCAGTTTACACTCTGCTGTTTATTCCCGCGCTTTTATCGAGCTTTCGCCTCATTCCAGCCCTCGCAGCCGGCGTCAGCGTGCAGCAGGCACTGTGCGTTGAACTGCTTTTGTTTTGCCGGGACCCTCGAATCGAGCTCTCTCGGAAGAAGCAGTCTAGCCAATGTGTCAAGGAAGCGATCTCTTTTCGTCGACTCTGAATATTGAATGTTAGGATCCACAGAATCGCGATCCAACTATTATGCTATTCAAGGTGTACTATGCAAGGGACTTGTATGTTTTAGTTCAGCCTCATGTCTTTCTGTTTTCCTGTCAGAGGTGCGCCTGTTGAACACCGAACTCCAGGAGTGGGTCGAACGTTTCGCCACCGTATCAGAAAAAGTGGCGCACTTTCTGCAGGGTTCCTTACACTGTTCAGGATCCTACTTATGGTACAGACCGCTGAGTTGCGTACACCCGTCATCTCGAAAAGGAAAAAAGCCGCATATCTCCAAAAGAAGCAACCGTGGGTGGGAAGGCAGCCTGCAGTGCGATCACGCAGGACATGCAGCAGGAAGGCACACAACTTCGGCTCCGAGCGCAGACCGCCGAGGCATGGGCAAGGGACATGCGCAGATTGACTCTAGGGCCTCTAGGTGTTTAGGGTTAGGGTTTTCAAGCCCGGATGCCAAAGGGGTTTAGGGTTTTAGGGTTTAATTAGGAGCTGCGCGAGTCCTGGTTGCAAAAAGGTTTAGGAGCTTCTGCTAGCTTAGTTTGCAGGTGAAGCATGACAGCCATCCGCAGCCTCCTCGCTCGCAAGCTTCTCTTGCCAGCGCAGGCCATGGTGTCTGCGCTGATGCAAGAGAACCAGGCCTTGGTAGAGCAGTTGAGGCCAAAGCACTAAGCCTCTCCTACGGAAGGCCTCTCCTTGCACAGCTTGTCTTGCGAAGTGAGGTCTCATTTCATTCCGGGCCACCCGTGCCCTCCAAGTTTGAATGTCCCTGCAGATCTCTCGTCAAAGGTCGGGGTTAGTTTTCATGTCAGCAGATCGTTTTGCTTTTGTTGAGGATGGTTTGTTGTTTTGGGACGGGCCATGGCTGGTCCGCGACTACGGACCAAGTCGAGAATTTGACGCTTCGCGCGCGGGGGAATGGAGCTCCGTCGCAGTGAAGTCGGCCGGAGCCTGCCCTGATCGGGAGCGGGCCTGTAAGCTTTAGCGTTCCTTTGCAATGTAACTTTTTGAACAAGGGGGCCAGGCCTTCCCAAAGATTCTACCACGCCCTTCTGTGATTTGTTGTTACACACTATCAGACCAGAAAAGAGTCCAGCGTTTGGATCTATTCACTTGAGCGGTCCGAGTGGCGAGCAAGGTTTGGGAAGGCTCGATCCGGAATTCAGCTGCAAGGCAAAATGGAATTCACGCCAGTCATGTTGCATTCGGGGGGCCCATCTCCCGAAGCGAGACTGCGCTGAGCCTTGGCCCAGGTGCCGAGACATCGAGTGCCCGGGACCCACACCCAAGAGGCGCGAGCAACCCTTGCAGCTCGGCTTCAGCAGGGTCCTTTGCTACTCTCAGAGCTCGTCTCTGCTTCTCAGAAACGGGGATCAGTCTTCAGTAGGTGGATTTCATATATCCTGGTCTCGGAGGGTATGCCTTGTGCTGGATGCCCAGGTACCTTGACTTCCTGCCAGCCTTCATCAGCGTTCTGCCAGGGCCTCAACGTGAGGCTATGCCCCGAGCCAGGCGGAAACTATTGAGTTGCTTGATGCCCCGAAGTACAACACATGCTGGTCTCGGGTGCACCGCTCAGGTATGAGGCGGTGGAAGAGAACGGAAACATTTTGGATGACGACATAATGCAGGTCATCCTTGATTACGAGAAGGACAGCGGCAACACGTGCTGCAAACTGGGAGATCGAGGACTCTAGTTGACGTCGCCTCAAGGGTGTGCACGATTTCGCGCTGATTGGCTTCACCAGAGCAGAGGAGCTCTTCACAGACGTCGGAGGTGCTGAATTGAACTACGACGGTGAGACGAGGCCGATCTGGTAGCGAAGTTTGACAGCTCAACGGGGTTCGGTGTTTTCTCAGCCACCCCAGCTTCCCAGCGACGACATATTCCACAATCTGTTGCCTAATTATTCCCGCAGCTTTTTCTTTGCTGATTCCACGAATTCCCCACCCGATTGTCACGTGCTCGATGTTTCCGATGCACACACAGCAGCTCGAAGCCATCCACACACCGTACACTGTAGGAACAGTCTTGGCACCATCCCCAAAACTACATGCTACGGCACGTGCTTCATGATGTCAGAAGTCCCAAGCCCCAACTTGTTTGAGGCCATCTCCATGGACCGAGGAGAGGAACTCTTTGTCTTGTGGCTTGGGTGGGCTTGCAGCCTTTGGATGCATCACTTGAGTCTGCTGTAATTGAATGAGTTTTGGGGATGTCTTTCTAACGGTTTGAGCTGCAAACTGGTTTTTGCAATGCTGGTTGCAGGTCTAACGCAAAATCAAAAGGGCTGAAGGAGCGGCGGAAAGCATCGGGAGTTGCAAGCCACTCTGCTGGAGCCATCGTAGCATCTTCGTTCTTTTAACCTGGCCTTCGTGAGAGACGCGCACGGGCTGGATCCACGTGCATGTTGCTTTCGTGCCCCGTGAGCAGCGCGAATTCCAGGCCAGACCTTGGCTGGGCATCACGATCTTAAGACAAGAAGCGGAAGCACCAGCAACCCCAAGCTGAAAGCATCAGGGGCAAGACCCAGCTGCAGTATCCCAGAGCCACAGCCGTAAGCCCTGGAGAGGACTGGTGCTTGATGAGCCATCCATCACACGGTTATGGCGAGCCGAAGTGTGCGTCTGGCGTGGGCTTCGGTCACATGCATCCTGGGCGAACACTAGTGGGGGCCAAAAAAGAAAGAAGCTTAAGGGGCCTGGTCGGATGTTCGCAGCTGAACTGGAGCACAGCCACTCATAGAAATAGGGAAGTTCAGCAGATGTTTTTCCTTTCCCATGACAGTGTGCACCTGACAGTTGCCAAGGTTCACCATGAATGATGCTGGCCGTGGCTTGTCGTATCATGGTAGATGTCACAAGAAACGGCAGCGCCTGTGACGGTGTCTGATGGCGGCAGTGCTAGGGGGATTCAGCGACAGGTCAGGATGATCAGCCCTCCAGAGCCTGCTTAGCTCAGCAGCTCAGCCGGCTGAACTCAGGCGAGACAATCAAGAACCAGGCGCTTGCGGGCCACAACTTCCTCGGGCTCGCCGGAATGATGGCATGCATCTGCCGCTGGCCTGACTTATAGGCCTGTGATTTTGTTACAGCTCAAGGGCCAAGCAAAGAGGCCTCATGTGGCGCAGGGTCTCGGAGTCCAGCCCAGGCCAAACCGAAGAGACCTGCCTCGTTTGCAACGCGGACGGGTCCATGAAGGGTGCTGGCACAGGCCGGGGCCAGTGGCCGGCGGTGAAGTGCGAGCCAGCAGTGGGAACGAGGGCTTTCAGGGGCTCCGAAAACAAGCTCCACTCCTCGTTGGCGATTATGAGAGGGACGACGCAGTCAGGAAGTTGCGCATCCCCTCTCCCTGGTCCGGTCTGCTTTTGCAATTAAGACTACGAGGCTTCGGGCAAGACAGAACCAAACATAGATCGTAAAAATGGCTTCCTTATTGTCAGGAGGACCTCTAAACAAGGTATCCCTGACTTCACCCACGTCCCATTCAACATAGACCGCCCCAAAGCTAGGGCCCCTCAGCGATGTTTTGCCTCGAAGCTGCCTGCTCGCCAGCTGATCCGAAGACAGCTTGGCCAGCTTCAGCTCCTCGGCTTCTAGGAGCAGCCTCTTGCCGACCTTGCGTAACGATTTCGGTTCTTCTCAGATGGGCCAAGCTCTTGAAGCGATCTCGCATTCCGTCAGGGTGGGTGCCTGCTGAGATGTTTTAACTTCACACCCAGTCTTCACACCCCTTGCGTGGTCGCTCCTCTTCGCGGAGACCGGCAGAGCGAGAATAGAGGTACTATCGTACAGTATCGTTTAGTGTAGATTCACCCTAAACCCGAGGGACAAAAACTCTGTGGATAGGGGTGGCCTTTTTTGAATTTTCATTCTCCGAGATCCAAACCTGCATCGCCGACTGGAAGAACAACGTGATCACCATGTCCCAGGCAGGTGGGCTCAAAGGATTTCGGATTTCTGGTTTCGGTGGAGATGGGGTTTTTGTACCATGGGAGCTGTAAGAAACTGGGTATGTCTGGGATGTTTGTCTCCTGTGATTCCCCACATGGAGCCGAGTTCTTGAACGTTTCTTGGACTGCCGCGGTAGTTCTCACGGCCTCCCCCGAAGAAGGCTCGTAAGCGAACGGGTGGCCCTGAAGCTCAGGAGGCTTAGGAGGGGCGGACGGGGCTTCCCTTCAAAGGCCGCAGCGACTGGGCCGACGACAACCACGACTCCCTGCAGAAATCCATTAGGTTTGGGGTTCAGGGTTTAGCTCTTAGCGGTTTCTGTCTTATGAAAATATCTAGGGGGCATCTGAGCTGCATCCGAATCTTTGCCCCCCTGATCCACCCTGGCGATCTCTATCCTTGTCCTTGCGCTTTGTTGGTTTGTCGCCCTTGGCAGTTCTGTCGCTCAGTTCCAGAGTCGGAGCTGAAAACGTCTTGCCGGCACGACATCCCGGGAGTCGGAAGAATTCAAACGGACCTCCGAAAGCCAAGAAGCCTGCTAGAAAACACGCGTTCTGTTTGGAAACTGCGGGGGTGCCTCTTGGAGGCGTCCTTGCAATAAGAATCCGTTGTAATTAAGTAGTGCTTGATGCCATCAGCTTAACCGGCTTAAACCCTTCCATTCCGGGTCCTTACTGAGGACGACGCTGGATCCGACTTCCGTCCTGGGGCAGTTCTGTGCTGAGACCAGTGGCCGCAGTTTCGGATCCTCGGCGGGCACATGGAAAGCGGTAGATGGACAGATGGAAGTCCAGGAAATTGTGGCGCCCCAATCAACCAGTCCACCAGTCAATATAAACAAGCCCACAAATAGACAAATGCGTGTCTGTGTCTTTGTGATCTATATGTATGTGTTTGTGTGCGCGCATATGTCTACATCTGTATATATGTATATATTCATGCATGCATACGTGAATATTGATGTCCCATATGTGTACTGTATGGGTCCGTATCAGTTAGCTTTTGGAGCGTGGGAAGCCACTGCTTCTGCAATACTCTGGAACGTTGATGAGTCTTACGTGTTGTTAGTGGGGTGTTTTGGTCAAGGTTTGAGTGTATTGCAGAGTTTGTGAGTGTAAGACGCGAAATAAGTAGAAGGCCAACCCAGGCTTTTGCAAGAAAGCACCAGTGTGTTCCAGCATATTGGGGGCCCTGGTTCAGTTGGGTCCTTTCTTCTTCGTAGGGCCGTCGTAGGGCTTCCTGGCAGCTCAAACTGGAGAGCTCGTCGTATTCTGAAGTCTGGGACACCCAAGGCGGTTCGTGAAAGGTCTGCACATGTGTCTTTTGCAGGACCCCCTACACCCACCGGGCCACTCAACATGGTGCTGCTTCTTGGACTTGAGAGGTTGAAGCCCTGCTTGGGTCATACCTTTCCCCAAGACAGCCCTCCAGCATCAATGTGTGTGCACACTTGTGTGTGGTCGGAAACACCTGTATGAACGAGCCAGCATGTATGCAATTGTGTGGTATGTATGTAGAGCAACTAGAACCAGAGTGTTGGTGACCCTCGTGTGTCGTCGATGGGTTGATTGTTGGTTTACGACATGAGTGGGACATGGTTTGACAGACGTGACAGAGGCGAGGAGACCACAAAAAACCCGATATGCACAGCATGCAGGGAGAGGCATGGTGAGGCATGTGGATGCAGATGTAGAAACGGTGATACAAACATGGCAGGGGCATGTGGCTGTAATGCTCTGAAAGCCTGGGACCCCAACTTGTGCATCAGATCTCTGCTGGCCATGACCTGTTGCATCCGCCGATAATCGCGCAAGAACGCAGAAAGTGGTGGAAAGGCCACGTCAGGAGCCATAACTGTAGCTGAGCTTGCTGTCATCTTCCAACCAGCCCGTTCAAAGCCACATGCGCAACAGACTTCTGCTCAGGTTCAACATGCTGGAGCAGTCTATGTACCAAACCATCACGGCAGGATGTTGCTCGGGCTGCATCTGTGCGCGGCAGGACTGTGTATGCAGATGTGTTGAAGGCACTTGTCGGCTTGGTTGCGCATTAATGGCATACGTCTCAAGCCTTTGCGGAACCTGTAACCTGGCCTAGAAAAACCGAGTCGACAAGCCGAGACTTGCGTGTAATACTCAGGTTATTGGACGCGTTCTGCAGAAGCCCAAGCTTCACAGCTAGGACCTCTCCAAGTCTGCATCCACAAAGCTAACTGTCAGCTGCAAAGCTTGAAACGCCGAATCCGAGTTGAAGTTGGAAGTTGCAGTCCTTCCTCAGGTTCGACCAACATGACCTGTGGGTGACTCGTCTAGCAAAATTCTGCTGACGCCTCGCGGATAGGTCTTAACGTTGCTCTCCAGGAGCCCCAAGCTCCTGGCCCAAGCTCTCACGGTCTGAGATCTTAGAATTCTGGGGTTGTGGTGTTGTGGAGCATTTGGAAGCAGCTGCGTGCACTGTATGTGCTACGGCTACGTCATGCTGAAAGCCGCTATGCTTGCGCTGTTCTTTCTGATGCAAGTGGATGGCCAGAGAACACAGGTCCTCGAACGTTCAAGCTGGGAATGCTGGTTTGCTGGTGTGGGGAAGTCGTATGTGCTCATTTTGTGAGGTGGTCGCCGCCGTCGCTTGCTTGCAAGATGCAGCCAAACGTCGCACCCCTGAATGTTCTCTGCACAAGCCAAGGCCAAGGCATAGTCGTAGGCTGCTTGCAGAGCATGCTAGTTCGAGCACTACGGTGTCCAGGCCGTATAGAGTCGCACATTCCCAGTTCAATGTGCAAGCCTCAGTTTTTGCCAAGGGGAACCCACCAAATTTGCAGCTCCACCGCCTACTACCCCGCCACGGACGCGACGGGGCTTGTGACGGGTGCGGCCAAAGAGGCCGGGGCACAGCAGGGATGTGCATGGAAGGAACCCCAACAATGAGACCACATGTGGAACTAGAACCTTTCGAAGTTATGAAGCTCCCGCAAAGCAGGGAGAGGAAGGACAGCCCGAGTCCTTTCAGGAACACTGGGCCAACCGAGTTAATCTCACGCTTCGAGATGTAAACCTGGGTCCCAGCCCCTCATTTGTTGGAAGCCGGAGGCCATCTTGGAAAAGATGTGCGACCCATCGCTTCCACTCTGGTGGAATGCCAAGCACACCGACTGCACATGATGTTTCTGAAGATTGTCCTGGGGTTGATGTGTTTCGGAAACACCGCACTTCGGCGCCTGCATGGCGAGGGCACGAAAGTAGTAGGCCAGTTAGAATCCCAAGCCCGCTTCGTAAGCTCCAAGTGAAAAATCGTGTTTGTTAGGCTTCCAAGCGTTTAGGATTCAACCCAATTGCCTCTACCAGTCTGGCTGAGCAATATCCTTGCGAGCTCGGGTCTTATCAGTGAAGCCTGAGGGGTACGCTCACATTTTCTATGTTGGCCGTAATGACCTAACTGGGGGGTTTTAACTTTATGGCCCGAAGTCCAGACTCTGGAAGAACAGCACAGCTCCTTCTATCAACAAGGGACTGCATGGCACAGCATGTTCTGTCGAGTATTAGGAATCCATGCTTGAATTATTCCGACGCACGACCGACGACAAGGAACACCTTCATGCCCATTAGCTTCGATTGCGAAGCCCGCAGCTTGGCAAGCTCCGCTAGTTGCAGGTCCAGGTGCATGTCAGGCACCCCCTGTTTGCTTTGTGAAGCATTCTGCAAGCGCAAGCTACAGTGCCTTGAGGTAAGACGACAACAAACCCAAAGCTTCAGCCTGCACCCTGTTTCGGAAGTACGGCTAAAGCCTGGGAGTGGTTCACGCTGGCATTCCCCTGTCGACGCAATGGCTTGGCTTCCTCACAACACATGTGCCCGCGACAGGTGCTGGAAGAGTGTAGAGTATAAAGTAACTCCACATTTCTATCCAGCATCAAAACCGGAAGCTGCCCGGCCTAGTGCGCCAAACCCTGGCAATGCAGAAGGGCAGGCGGAGCCCCTCAACGCTGAATCGGCCCCTTGCTGAGGAAAAAGCAAGTACGCGCTCTCCCGTTTCTTTGCAGGTGCAGGGCAAAGTTGCGGTTTAGGAGTTCGGGTGAGGGGGCGTCTCTTTGTGTGCGGTTTTCGTGCGCTTGCTTCCCTCCTTTGGTGTGGCGTGTCAATGCGCCGCACATTGGAGACCTGGCCCCCATGCCACTGAAACCGGGGGTTCTTAGGAGGGAATGGCTTCTTGCAGCCTACAGCCTCTATCTGATAGCGAGCCCAGTCTGCAAGTCTACAGTTGAAGAATGAGTTCGCTCTGCCACAACGCCTTATCAGGTGCAAACGACCCAGATGATCAGGACGAGCAGAAGCCTTGAGCACTTCACGAGCATTTCCGCTTTCTCATTCTCTTTGCAGGGTGCGGTTTGCCTGCTTTGTGAGACAGGACGAGGGCACGAAGTTCCAGACCGGCTATGTCGAGGGTCGAAACGGGTGGTGTGGGGCCCGGATCAGGGTCTTGAGGGAATCGGCTGACAAGATCAGAGGGCACCAGCTCTGTGAGCGTGTGCCTTATTCATGTGCTTGCCTTATGACCTTCGACCAGTTTCCATGGTGTTCCAGAAGTTTGAAATCTTTTTTCGCCGTCTGACCTGCCGGTGTTCCAATCTGGTGCAAGGGTGTCCCACATCTTCCAATCATGTAGCAAAACGTATTAGCTATACCCCAAGACCCTCTTCTACCTGGTTGGGTTTCTCGAATACGTCATGGTGACAGGTACTCCAAGGCAGCAGCGATCGAGGTCGGCAGCCGCTGTCTTTTGTTTCCGATCGTTGCAACGGCTGCCGTCTGAGCAATGAGACTCTGTCTGAGACATAGGTTCTCAAAGAGGCAGTCTGAAGTTTGCTCAGCTTCAGACTTTTTCGATGCAGTAGCATAGTAGGTGGGCCGCCCCACTGTCCTAAAAGTAGGTTCTTGTCTAGAGTCTAGATTATATCTTGCTTACGTTTTGCCCCCTATTACGGGAAGATGGTTCGTAGCTTACACAAGACAAAGTTCCGCAACAAGGATGCAGACAGTTATGATTCGACAGGCCTAGGGATGCTTGAGTTCGGCAGGACCAGAGGGGGACCCTTCAAAGGCAAAACAGGTTTGTGGATCAGTGTTCGGTTGATGATCTTGATGATCCCTTAAGCAGGAGCCTCCTGTTGCGCCTCCGCTTCTCACCAGGCAAAGTACGAGCGCGAGCATGGAAGCAAGCTCCGCATCATGCTCTTCTCAGGCTCCCCACCGCAAGAAAAATTTCGGGGCTCGTCGGGGAAAATTGCAGGCGCAACCCTGGTGGCCCAGTATCTTGGAATCCTGCTGGTGGATGGCTTCCTGTCCTTGGGCTCATTGGTGTTCCGCGGCTGCAGCGTGAAGGGTCCCGGCGTTCACGGCGTACATCCCCATGAAACGCCGCGCAGGGGAAGTTCCGTTGGAGACCTGGCCTGTGTAGGAAGTTTGCATCAACCCCGGCTTGCAGACCACAACATTCCCCTACAAGTGTTTGAGGGCTTTTCTACGGCCTGCTCTTGCGAAGATGTCCGATTGAAAGCGCACAGGTCAGTCTGGGCGTACATGTGGCTGATGCTGGAGAGCGTTTTCCTGGCGTCTTGTGGCATGTTCGAGCCACTTGGTGGCAACAAGTCCTGTGGTTTAGATCCCCGACGCTCTTTCAGCCGTTTGTTGCTGCAGATCAGGGCAAGTTCCACCATATTACCTGAATACGAGAGGCTACCAGTTGCAGCAACGGAGATCATTCAAGTGAATGAAGCAGACTTTCCCAAGGATCATTTTCTCCCTTCCAGTGGGAATGTGCCTTTGGGTGCTGGCCGCTTGGACCCGTGATGCCAGCCTCACATGCGGCTTTCGTTTCCTCTTCGCCGATCTCAGGAGGTAGCAGTACGGTATCAGAGGTTGGGATGTCGGCAGACCCATAGCACCAGCAGAAGAGGGCGATGCGTACAAGTGGGAGGCCCATGCCCCCACAGTCGTGTTTGAGCCCGAAGCCCAAACCCAAACCCATTATGCTTAAGTTCTCAATGTCATGTGCCAACGCCAAACAGCCCAGATCCTCCAACAGAAGATCTTCTGGTATCAGATGCGGCCCTGGCTGAAGATTGGGGCTTTGCAGGGTTTCCTTCAGGCTGAACTCTGGAATTTCGATGCGAAGCGGTCACAAAGGGAGAAAGCCCAGCCTCTCGTGCTTGTGCAGTGCCGAGAGACTAGTTGCTGTGAGCTCGCGATGAGCCTCAAGCCTGGAAAGGTTGGTGATCTACATGATCCTGGGAATCGGCGCTGACGATGCAACACGGATTGCAGTCAGACATGGTCACTTGACACCTGAAATCCGCCTCACTTGCATGTCTGCGAGCTTTGGTCGTGAGGCCTCGGTTTCACTTAGGTCTTCATTCTGTACGATGCCTGGCTCCAGTCAGCACACACCGAGGGTGTGAGCCGGCTACTTAGCATCCCCGAGCCTTCACGGGCGGGTCGTGACCCTCTGTCCTGGCGCTCCTAGCAGCCAAGAACATCCAAGGCCACAGCCGAACCACTCGCTTCTGCTGGGCCTATCGCCGCTCTGTCGGTGCAATGCTGGTCGCTTGGCTTCACTTCGTCCAAGTTTATGCCTGCCCGCTTTCCCGCCCGAGGGACAGGAGGACCGTGGGTTGAGGCTCAGTGTAAGGAGAAGGCTTTTCCCGCGTTTGGCACTCACTTGCTGTTGATTATGTTGCTAACGAGTTTAACGAGAGCTTCTCAAAAGGATCTGGCGAAGCAACATCCCACGCAATGTCGTGTGGCGGGTTGGTAGATGTGTGGCATGTGCCCAGACACCTCTGTAAAGGTCCGGCAATACCAACCCGTTGTCAGACTTATCCAATTTAAGGAGCCGGTAGTATTCACAGAATTGTCTCACAAGCTGCGCTCCAGGTCCGCAGCGTGTCTCATTGAGGGGCCCCCGCCTATGGAGTTGCAGGAAATCCCGAGCCTAATCAGAGAAGACAGGTCACCACGCTCACGACCTGTGGATCCTTCGTGCCTTTGGCTGAGTTTAGGACTGCTGGCTCTGGCAGTCCAGGGTGAGGACTGGGAAGGGGCAGTGATGTGCACCGTAACCCAGTAGCTTGATGCATCTTCATAATCAACCCACTATTACGGGTTACACGGTATTAGTAATTGTTATTTGTGTTACCACTACTATGTATGTATGGCCCCGCTGACTAGTTATCCGCATTATGTACATATGTATAGCAGCCGACAAACTTTCTCTGTTTGTCTGCAAAGCCACCAGTTCATCGGCGCGACCTCGCCGCTGCCTTTGGTGCAGAGTTTCTGCTGCTCGGACCACGCCATGCTACAGTCCATTCTGTAGAGCCGCATACAGTGGAAGGAGTGTGCTACCTAGTTTATCCGTCTTCCAAGTTTATGGCTTTTGTTGAGGCCTCCAGAGATCGTAAAGTGCTGGGTGGCATCGCTGTTTGAGGTTCGAGGTGTAAACAGTGTAAACCTTTCAACGACTTAGATTCGCCCGCATGGTGAGGCATTTTCGCCGCAGTCGTCGTTCTGGTAGACTACCTCTTCTGCAACTTGGGCAGCCTCTAAGCCACAGAGTCGTGGAGTCCCAGGATGGCCAAAGCCTCAGGCGCTCAGATGCCCCCTTTTGGAAGGTATCAGCTTCTTCGCCTCGGCAGTCTTGGTCTACGAGGAGTGGATGAAGGCTGTGGTTGTGCGCAGTTTTTGCCCTGGAGCCGCTATTCTGGTAACTTGACATTGCTTTGTAGGTCCCTCCTTGTCATCAAAAAGGGGAACACAACCCGCCACAAGCTTGCGCCTTGTGCCCAGGGTGTCGGCTACTGCTGCCGCTGCTGCGGTATCCCTCTCCGGGAGCCAGGAACCTGCCTCGGCTCCACGGCAGCAGCTAAAGTCGGCTCTTTAAACGGTCCATAAGGGATGAGTGACGAGGAGATCCTAGTGAAGAAAGGGACCCACGTGATGGCCGTGTTGTGCTTGTGCGTCGGCAAGACATCAAAAGCGAACCCCACCAACACAACAGTGAATTCTGTATTTGGAGAACCCCACATGTTGATCTTCCATCCACTACGAAACGAGCCCGGTCGCCTGCGTTTGCAGGGCGATGTTGCGGATTGGGGTTGAAAGAAGCCTGGTTTCCTGATGTATACAGATGCCCTCACACCCGTGAAAACTCGTTGGCTTGTGGCACTTCTCGTCTTTAACCCCTATAAACTTTATACATCCTGTCGCAGGGTAGTCCCACCGATGCACGTAAGGCCCGGGCTGCTGCTTTGGTGGTCTGCGTGCCTGTTTGTCCTGCTGCGGCAGAAGCTGGAGAGTCGGGGGGTTCTTCGAGGGGCACAGACTTTCACGACAAGAGTACCTTGTTACCTTGTTGGTGGGGTTAGGTTTGTTTGAGATGGTGGCTGCTTCCGGCCCGACGTTGTCAGGCTATGGACAATGTGTGAGTCCTAGACTAAGACCCCAGCACTGCCATCGATCGTCGCAGGAAAGTGGTGCCCAAGCCGCCCAAGGCAGACGAACCTCCAGCTGGCTGCCGAAATTAGTGGGGTATGGGAGGGCAGCCTTGAGACTGCTGAAAGGCTGAGGTTCAGGGAGACGTTAAGAAGGCATGTCGGATTTCGTGAGGGCTCCGCAATCAGTCTTTCCAAGGAGCCGCGTGCGATGGAAAAGTTCTTCGCAGGACGGGGGAAGTCTGCACTAAATCGTTCCGGGCGAAGGATAGATTGCATGTAGGGGAGGGAGGGATAAGAGCAGCCCCCAGCGTCTGACAGACGCGGATGTGTCGTAGCCTTGTGATTGCGGTGAAGTGTCGGCGGCGCGCCGGCTTTTCAACTAGACTCATGTCATGCAGCTAGCAATCAGCTCCAAGACTTCTCCGAAAGTTGAACACAAGCTGACCAGCTTGAAGACTGCCAGGGCCTGCCTTCCGTGCCTGGGCTGCGCTCCAGATCCTCCCCCAAGTAGCCCGAAGCTCCGAAGCGTGGCGGAAGAGAAAACGAGGCTTCTACGACAATCACAAGATCAAGCTGATCCTGTTTTGGGTGGTGGTGGTGCCTTGCATGGAGAAGAGCTGTGTCGGCTGCGTGTCGTAGCCTTCGGATGATAGAAGCTCTGACTGTGACTGCATGTGGCACGAACTCACTAGGAAACTCACTAAGGTCACTAAGTGAAGACCGAGGTTTTTGCACCCAGATCTCCTTTTTCACTCCGACCTCTGCAGAAAAAAAAGAGGTTCACAAATTAAAAGTCTTATAGGCTTATAGGGATGTTTTTGTCTCCTGCTTCAGCACGGAGAGAAAGACAGACACTGGATGAAGGTACGCCCTGGCATCCCGAACATGTGAAATCACATCTACAGCCTGGAACTGAACGGGACTTCATCAAAACCCTGCTGCCTTGTTGAAACACACAGAGTTCTCTGATATCCCCTGTTGCAGCTGAAGAAGACACACAAAAAAAACTACTGTAGGTCATCAGCATGGCGACGAGCGCCGGCGTCCAGCTCCGCACCGCCAAGAAGCGTGTCGGTCCCTGAGTCTCCTTAGTTCTTTTCTGGGACTGAAAAACGAGCACTGGTACAAGAAGCATAGAGGCCTTCGGGGAGTTGTTTTGGAAGGATCTGGTCTCTGGCATTTGTCCGACTGCTCTGAAGCACTTTGCTTCTGAGATTCTGAGGCCCCTATTGGGCGAGAGAACATCGACGTCATCAAGGGCTCCTGGGCTTAACCTTATATATAGGACAGGACTACCCGTGACTGTAGCCAACTTCACGGAGGAGACGGCTTCCCGCCATGAAAGCCACGGAGCCGTGCTGACCTCCCTGCACGCCGAGGATCCGACATCCTGTTCTCGGAGCTTCTCGGCCTGTGGCTTTGAGGGATGCGCGACCTGTCGCATGGGCACGGGTTGGGCAAGCCTTCTAGCTGCACAACATGCCGGGCGACCCTGTGAAAGGCTTTTCCAAAGCCGACAAATGCGAAGGTTTGTCAGAAGGGTCGTGGAGAGAAGTGCTGGCCGTTCAGGTTCGAGTTCTCCACTCGCCCTGTTACTGCCTCTATTGTGTTTGGCCTCAACGAAGAGAGACTTGGCTCAAAAGGAGTGTCCCATCCGATGAGCACGGAGCATCCGAGGAAGCAGACCTGTCCTGTGCTAAAGACTGGAGAGTTACTGTGAGGCCTCTTCAGGTCGCTAGGTGCTGCGAGCTGCTTGCTCGGAGCTGTTGGAGGCCTATTTTCATTGACCTTTGGTCTTACAAGCCCTTTATTGGGGGGGAGGAATTGGCACATTTATGAACATCTATGAGCTGTAAGAGGTGGCTTCGTCTCCTGGGCTCCCCTGCGGATGTGCTACAGTAGGTGTACTGTGCACTAAGTCCATTCTGCAGAACGGGCTCTTCAAAGACCCTAGTCCACCAACCGCACTCCACGACCTTATTCTGTGTCACGCTGAGCTGCAGCACCTACTAGACTCGCCTGGCTCGTCCGAGTCGTGAGACCGTAATCAACCGCATTCTCTTTAGGTTTCGTGTCAGGCTGCCAGTTTTTAGGTATAAAAAAGCCTGCCGCTCTTTCGAGGTCCCCTGTGACGTGGGCGCGGGAGATCCAGGACTCCACGACGAATGCGCCGAACTTCGGAGGAGAGCCCCAGAAGAGTCGCGTTTTCGGTTTGGAGAGAGGTCAAAGTTTGAGAACTTTGAGAAGTGGATTGTGCTGTTTCGGTGGCGCGATGAACGACATAAGTGCGCAGGTTGGGTCGCAGAGAACCTGTACCCCGAGAGCTCTCACAAGCTGTGGTTCTAGACCCTACCCCAACTCAGTGACCCACCGGCTGCAGGTTTTTTGATGCATAAGTGGTCCTCGTGGCCTTACGAGGGAAAGTTTAATCTCAATTCTTCCCCCGGCCTACCCGAGCTGCCCTAAGGCTTATATTATAAAGCCGAAGAACTCACAAAAAATTACCAAAAACCCAACATGACTGATCCCTCCACCCCTCAACCCAAGATGCAACGCGGCGGAGAGTGCAGCAAATGCTCCACTCGTTTTGGGCTGGCAAAAGCTGGCGCGGGGAAGTCGAAGGTCTTGACAGCCCCCCAGCCCCATATAGCCCGGCCTGAGGCGCGCCCACTCGGCTAATTGACTAGTAGGAAACGAAACAAAAAAGCCCTTTTTGAAAGCAGTCCTTCGAGTCTTTCGAGTCCGAAGGAAGCTCTGCCAGTGACCTCGCAAAGCCCTCACATCAAGCCGAGCTGCTGGCGCTCCGAACGGGGGGGCAGGGGAAGGATCCAAAGAGGAGTCTTACACATTCATAGGCTTACGGGTTCATTGTGACTGTAGGGTTGAGGCTTGCATCCCGAAACCTGAAAGGATGTCTTCTTCTACTCATGTAATCAGTTCGTCATTATTGTTTGGTCTGATCTCACAAGATTTGCGACTCCTAAACCTGCATAGCGGGCAGCTGGGCAGGTGGCGTTCGAAGGGATCGATCATAAGACCCCAACATCCATGTCATCCGATGCTTCTGCCCACCGCGAACAGGGGGCTCAAGGCTACAGACAGACTTGTTGTGCCTGTTGCCGGTGAGATCCTCGACATACACCCTTTTTTTCCCGGTCTTTAGATGGCTTCTCTTGTGCCGCAGAAGCCTTCAACGCCACCTCCCTCTTCCAGATCGCCTCGTCGGCGGATGTCTGCTACGCAACAGCGGTGCAGAAGAAGATCCAAATCCGGTCCAGCTGACATGGCGGAAGGGGCGGAAATTCCAGAGTGTGCGACGAGCCCCTCCATCAGCCCATCCATGAGCATGCGGTCACATGCTCTGTCGGATTCACAAGAAAGCAGGGTTCACTTCGAGGAAACCCCCGAGATCATCTTGTTTCTGAGTGCTGACGAGGGCGTCGCTGAGGAGCTTTCAGCGGTTGCGGAAGAGGATGAGCGAGGCCAGGCAGACGAGAGAGATCAGCTAAGCTCCTTGAGAGCGGCACTGCCACAGATGGGCGAGACTCCGTTGGCAGTGCCAGCTCCGCATGACGTATGCGAAGGAGGCGGCGGTTTGGCGGACCTTGCTGCAGACACTTGGTCAGAAAAAGCTTGTTTTCTATATACAGTCGCGAGATCAGATGAGCCAACCAAGGAGAGGCGCGACGCCATGCTCCTTAAACTCTTCCCTGGCATTGAGAGACCGTGTTTGATGCGCCCTCGGCCTTCGATCGACTGAGCAGAAAAATTCTGCGCAACTATATACCATTTTCCGCCGAAAATGTACAGTAGCATCTCCATGAGCAGAGATGCCGGCGAAGATCCCTAGGAGATCTAGCAGCTAGCACGTGTTGCCTTCTTCGTTGCCTTGCTCGAGTGTCTGTGTGTGAGGATGTGTGTGAGCGTGTGCATGTTCGGAAATGCTCCTATGCCGTAAACTTTGAGCTCTGACACTTCCATCTTTATTTCGTCACCGCAGCTCGAGGGAGGCTTTTCTGCGACAGCGAGCGCAAGCAGACGGCTGGCGCACTTCTGTCCATGTCAGCGACAAGCATGCTATTTAGTTACGGAGGGCGTTGCTTGCAGAGTGGTTCCTCTGAAGTTTTGAGTTCTATACGGCTGCCAAGCGCCTGTTTCACCGCTGCCATGCTTCGGCAGCTTCGGTACCGGGCATGTCGCCCCAGGGAGCGGAGGTCTCTTCCTCCAAGCCACTGGTGCCAAGACCAGTTCAGGCCTGAGCATGCTAGGTTTTGCCGCTTTTTGCTGCTATTTCGATACTTGGCACACGGGCTACATGCGATGCGGTTCTCTCAATGAATGATCTCACAAGTTCTGGCACTAGGCGTTATGTTCGCCCTGGTGCTGCGACAATTCGCTTCTTTGCATGCCGGGGACAGCCGGAAAAGAGTCTGCAGGGCGGTGGGGGGCTTGGGTTTTTCTCAGTGCTTCAGTTCACCAGATACGTTGAGAGTTCCTGTTCAGTGCATGGTCTCGTGCAGTACTTAGTCCTCCAAGGTCTTTACTCGTATTGTTCGTATCATCGGAAGTATCCCTGCTACCATTGTCCTAACCGTCACCATAATTATAACCATTGTTGTCCTTGTGCTTGTAGACTTTGTCTGGAAGTCGCGAGCTCTTGGCAGGCTCTCTGCACTGCCGTCGACATTGGCCAGGCTTGGTGCGGACCAAAAAAAACGTCATTGGCTATACGCATCAGTCTCCCAAGTTCAGCGACCAATTCCAGCCGAAGAAAAGCAGCCGAGAGGTTCAGACAGGATGCATGTCAGATTGCCGGAGGTGAAATTGTAGCTACCTGGCTCTCAATTGCCTCGTTCTGCCCGGCAGGATACAGCAAACACGCGATGCGGAAACAGGCGACTTGGCTAAAGGTTAGAAAAATGACAAGAGGAAAGCCCTGGCGCTGGATACAGTAGACAGCATGCATCGGAAGTGCAGCCTGGGCGTGGGACATTTGCTTCGGACTTGCCTCTTTCAGGATTCTCAAGGGATCTGTGGGAACAGTGATCCAACGCAGGAGTTCCAACTGGGCTTGCATGGCGTGCTACTGTTAGCAAGCCGCTGCCGAAACCAACCCTGACGCGTCTTCAGAGCCTGCGCAGCCTGAGGGCCTGCTTGGCAAAGGGCTCACCCTTGGCGGGCAACTGTGCGGCCGGGAAAGGGAGAAAGGGAAGTCTGGGTCTACACCGCTTTAAACGGGCGGGGGATTCGGTGTTCGTGGCACTAGCCTAAATTCCTTGAGGTGCTAAGACGGGAAGTCCTTTCGCTGTTGTCTTGAGAGGATATTGCTGATGATAGCCGTACTGATCGTAGAAATCCACAGCGGCAACCATGGCAACCGTGAACATCGGCAGTGGCAGGCCGACCAGACCGCCTGGCAAGCGGCAGGGATCTACCTGCGGGCCACCAGGGGCTTTTCTTGTCGGCTTTGTGTTAAGCCGCGGATTCGGGATTCAGAGTGGGTTCAATGCAAGAAGCTCACCCGATGGGAATGGAAATCGGCACTATGTTCATCCAGGTCTTTTGCCGAGCAGAGCTCAGTTTAGAAGGCGAGCCAATGACCGAGAGACTTGACAGGAAGATGAAAGCTGCGTGACCTCGCGATATTGCTTCATGGAGGAGACGACGAGAAACTTCGGGGGTTTCCTTATTATTACTACTACTGTTATTATCACCATTATTATTGGATAATACATTTTGGGTGGGGTTCCTCATGGTGATGCCCTGCCCTTCCCGCTCTCGGCACTCCGAGCTTCAGGGTGCTGCGAAGCTCGAGGAAGGTCAAAGGTTCGGGATGTCCTTTGAGGTTCTGCCGTGGAGGCCCTAAACTTCCTAAATAGGTTGGGGCTCATCCTTCGCATGTACTCGTAGCTTTCTTCTCGTTTCTGCTACTGTTGCTCGTTCTTCTTATTCCTATTATGCTCCCTCTTCTTCTTCTTCTTAGTTTTCTTTCTCTGATTCTTCCGGTGATGGTGGTGGGTGCTGGTGCTTTCGATAAGAAAGTCCTCTATAGTCGGAAGCTTTGTCCCCAGCCCCTTTGTTTTTTTTTTGTGTGTTTTTTTGTTTGTTTTGTCGTTTTCTCTGCTTTGCTCGTGTTTTCCCGTTCTACCTGCTGCTTTTGCTTGCTTGTAGCTTTCTGCTTGTTTGTGTTTCTGTTCTGTTTGCTTTTCCACTTCTCTTCTTTTCTGCTTCGCTTGTCTGTTCCTTCGCTTTTCCGCTGTTATTTCTGCAGTCTGCCAGTGTTTGCTTCTGGCATTCTGCTTGTTCTTGCTTCTGCTTTTGCTGTTCTGCTTTTCCGTTTTTCTGCTTCTCTGCTCGTCCGCTTCTCCGCTTTTACGCTTTGCTCTTATGGAATGGCCAAACGAGGTGGCAAGTTAAACATATGTGATGAACCGGAATCGCCAATTGAGGGGGCATGTTTAAGGTGACAGCGCCTGTACGCGTCTATGCTTCTAGCACATTTCAGGGTTTCGCGGGGGTGCGGGGTGGGTGGGCGGGGGCGGTGGGGGGCTAACACCGGCATCTTTAACTCAAAAAGTAGCATATAAGCTTCCATGTTGACCTTGAGGTACCTCTCATCATCTCAACTATGTGTGGCGGGCTCTCTTGTGAAAAGCCACAACGAACCTCCTGTGCGCTTTGCGACAACGAGCGAAGGCGGCGGCGTGAGCAGAACGAAGACCTGTGGCGCTTCAGCTCTTGCATCAAGCTTCAATCCTCGACCCTACCTAAGTAAGGCAAGTCTGGCAACTCCGGACTACTTCCTCTAAAACTCTATCTTACAAAAAGTTTTGTTTTGCACCCTCTCGGAATATAAGCTTAAACCCCAAGCGAAAGCGCAGCTAGGCCCCGAGTTTACTTCAGCCCCTAGTGTTTCACGCACCTGCCTGGATAGGTGTGGTTTCGAGCGAATCCATGTAGAAATCCTGTGCAGGCGCGCACAGTCGCCGTTACTATGTTTCAGATTAAGATGTATGATGAACCCGAATCGCCAAATGAGGGGGGCGTGTTTAAGATATATGATGACCTGGAACCGCCGAATGAGGCGGCGTGTTGAAAATACACGAACAGAAATCTCCAAATGCGGGGACGTGTTAAGATAGATGATTAAGGGAATCGCCGAATGAGAGGGCATGTTGAAGAGACATGACGAACCGGAATCGCCAAATGAGGATGCGTGTTGAAGATGCATGATGAGCCGAAATCGTCAAATGAGGGACGTGTTCAGATAGATGATGAACCGGAGCCGCCACATGAGCGGGCCTGTTTAAGATGCATAATGAACCCGAATCGCCAAAGGAGGGGGCGTGTTTAAGATAGATGAGCCGGAATCGCCGAATGGGGGGGGGGGGGCATGTTTAACAAAGGGGCTGCAACCAAGGGGACCGATCCCAGCGTGTGCAAGGCCAAGGCTAAGAACAAAAGGTGGCAAGCCCAGCGGCGAGCCATCCGAGTGCCAACACACCCACCCCCAAGCGGCTCGATCTCGACGGCTTGAACGCAGGCACTCCGCCGAGCATGCTAGCCACGAATCTGCCTAGCAGTGACAGTTCAGGATGAGGCCAAGGGCAGCGGCGCCAGTCAGACTGGTAAAGGTACCAAGGGTGCGGCTGATCAGGCTGGCAAAGGAAAGGTGGCTGAAAAGCGGGAGCAGGCCACAGAAGATGTGAAGGACATATGATGACTCGGATCGCAGAATGAGGGTGCGTGTTTAATATACACACACACATTTTAAAAAAAAAAAATATATATATATATATATGTGATTAGGATGGTGATGATGATTATTTGCTCCGCCCCTCCGGCCTTACCTCCACACTCTTCCACAGCCCTGCTCCAACCTCTCCTGCCCCCTCCGCCCCCTCCCCCCCTCCCTCAGAAGGCCAAAAACAAAAATCGAACCAAAAAAAAAAAATCGCCGGATAATTGTGGATCCCTTGTGCTGCCCCGAAGTGGCCTTTGTGATCCAGGACGTGCGCTACTTCTGGGCATCGAAGCAAGGCCAGGAGTGGCGCTACTTCTAGGAGAGAGGAAAAAAGAGCCTGACGGAATCTTCTGAAACGGGGAGAGCGCATGTCAGCCGCTCTCTTGACACCCCTCCCAAGTGCTCTGATTTCTCTTCCTTGGGCTGCGCAGGCTTGCTCGTGTACATGTTGAGTGCTACTTAGGTCAGACGTCGCACATCCTCACACAAACTGTACGCAGCATCCCCTAGAACACGGAGCCTCTTTCTCCCAGAAAAGCAACTTGTCGGGCCGACAGGTTGGGTCGTTTCTGGGTTCGTTTTTTCGAGTCAGTTCACGAGGGGGTCCTTGAGCCTTCAATATGCTATGTGGCTAGGCTTCAAGCATAGAGTAGAGAGTACAAGGCTGATGAGGGGTACCACATCCGATAAGTCGAGGCCTCGTGGAGACGTCCAACTGTCAGGATGTACCTACATGTTTACGGTTATATGTCCAACAGGGGTCTTGCGGGCTTCAAGGTCCCCCGTGTCTTAGTCTGTGGCAGTTTGTCAACGTTTCAAGTCAGCTTCTGTTTTCCTTTCTCCAGATTGCCCAGTCTCAGCAGACACTGGTTGCTCTCCCAATAATCTGAACACATCTATATGTCTTCTTTGTATCCTTCGCTGCATAGATGATGACAAGCAAGAGTCCCTGAGAGACCGCGTCCCAACGGGACATACGAGAGTTCCCACAACAAAGCCCAAGACGTCCAGGCAATTGCCAGGGCAGGAACCAGTCTTCGTGCTCTGCCGCAGCAGGCCCAACCCTTGTCCGGGTTTGTGCATCGAACCTGCTTCGTTCTGGCTTGGAAGCTGGTGAAACATGGGGTGTCAGAGCACGTGTCGTGGCTACGTTCCTGTTATGACTCTCGCTTATCAGTTTATCAATGAAGTCGGTCTCGTTTATCAATGAAGTCGTTGCCCAGATGTAGCACCAGGCGACTGTAAATGATAGCTCCCCTGAAAGCTCAGGCTGCGCGTACTCGACCACCACAACTCCACCAGCTTGCCAGCTCGTCCGCACTGGTCGGGCTGGTGTGGTTGCTTCCTTGAGGAGGTACTCCTGTAGAAACAGTCGTTTATAGAGAGACTTTCCCTGCGCATGTTGCTGTTTGCAGTGACTCCTGCGCCCTGCGAATGATGAGAGGCCGAGGCCTTTCATTGACTTTCATTTCAGCCTGTGCTCGTAGTGGGCCTTTCCAGACTACTCTGAGTTTTCGCTTGGAGTTGCAAGTCGGGGGGTGCTTCTGGTAAGGATTCAGGTCCTACGGGTGCAATTCGAGTCGCTTTACGCCCTTTTCTGTGGAGAGACAAAGGCTACTCCACGACGAATCCGCTCAGCTTCTCGACTGCAGATGAAGAGGGTGCTCGGATGAGCTACGGAAAGCTGTGCTAGTTGGCAGCCACAGCGGCTTGCCTCCCCATGCCACCTTCTCGTTGAAACCTTGAGTCCTGCCACACTGCCACGGGTGTCAGCTTGAGGGCGAGCGGAGGTCTGTGGCGTAATTGAATCTGCGTTTTAAATCTGTCTCTGTCTGTCTGTCTGTGTGTGTGTGTGTAGAGTACAGCAGAAAGCTAGTTTGAGGCTACCCATACCTGTCCGAGAGTGAGTTCATCCAGCTGCTCTCTAATCCGTGGCCTGGCACGAAGGAGCTGGCGAACGCTGGCTTGGATGCTTCCAAAGCCCTTCTGAACTTCTGAAGCTCATCGAAGCGAAGCAACCACAGCAGCCTGTAGATGTACATGACCAACACTCCCCAAAGCAATTATGTAGATGCTCACAGCTTTGGCAGATACCTGTACTGGTCGCAGGTCTTTGACCGATCCGACGATGACCGAGTGGGAGGAGTACCTGGAATTGAAGACGAACTACCTGAGGAGATGCCACAGACCGAAACATACTTGCTACTGAATTAGCGCCTGTCCATGTCGAAAGCCGAGGTCGCTCTAAAGCACGGATCTGCACTTTAGGCTGACCTCCTTGTGTTTCAGACAAGCTATCTCGTTCGAAACGCATTTAAGCGACAGAAAGCTCAGGAAGACTGTAAGCAGCAATGCGTTGTGGCCTTGAGGAGTGTGAACCGGCGGTACGAAGCTGACTTTGCAGCTGCTCGGTCAGCAATGAGACAACTCTATGTGGCGACTGAATTCGGCTTGATGGATATGGGCTGTACCGTAGGGTCAGTTATACTTGTGGTCCGCCGCGCCCGGCGTCAGCCCTCGTCCTGACAATACCTTCTCGTTCGCTCAAGCAGCTCACCGTGGTGATTGGATCACCATTTAGAACAAAGCATGACAGAGGTCTCAAAGGCTCTCGGCCGTGGCCTTGAACAGACGACTGGGCCAGTGGGTCACTGCACACTTGTTGACTGTGAAGCTCTGTGCTTTTCTGTCTGGTGCCTGCTGACCAGCTGAGGCCCAATACACCGGCGTCCGGCTCAACTCCGACAAGACTGCCACTTGCCTGCAAGACTTGCCTGGTTGCAGTTGGCTTACACAGTGCCTACGCGGCAAGATCAGCGAGGAAAGCAGAACCTGGGCTCTAAGACACAGCCTCCCAAAACTTGGGGCCGGCTCGATAAGGCCATCCAGTTCGCTTGGATCAGCTACAATGCGACCTTCCCGCGTGAGCTGCTGGGCGAGCCAGTACCTGCTGTTTTTCATGGTCTTCTTACATGTTCAGCTTACCCCAGCTTGATTGGTGCAGCTTGTGGATGCTTGCTGTGACAGGTTTTGTCAGTCGAGCGTTGGCAGTCTCGAGTGGCAGCTCAGGAACACGGTGGATGAGGCGAACGAATGGTACAACCGATGGCAGACCTTCAAGGACAGAGCTCTCCTGCCGTGGCGCATGCGGGGTGGGTGAAGTTCCTACTACGTTGCCGCTTCATCACATCAAGATGTCCATTGAAAGATGACATGTGAGGGGTAGGGTATACTGTTGTGTCCAAGTGCAAGGGGAATGGTTGTGTGCTGCACCGCACGGGTGCTTTGCTGTAAATTGTGTCATGCTCTGCGTCCACCTGCCTGTGGGACTTCTTCGGGGAGCTAGCCAATTCAAAGGCAAGCCGGCCTAATTAGTTAGTGTGGAAGTTGCTTGGCAGCCCTCGAAGCTGCACAGTGGTTTTGAAAACGGCGCCTTGCGACGGGCTCTAGCCTTCCCAGGTTCTTGTAGTTCTTGACGCAAGCTATCGTGGGCCTTGAGTCACACCATCCTGGCCGGTGAGCTCCAAAGAGCCATCTTGCACGCAGGACCTTTGGGCACCAAATCTGGGCGGCTTCCAGACACCCTGCTGCAGCAACGTCTGTGCCAGAACGGGCAACATCGATTCATGATAAGATTCCTAGTCCTACCACATCCTGGCACTTGTCCTCCCAGGTCTAGGTTCCTGATCTATTTCAGACCACTATAGTTCAGTCTGACAGCTTGACGCAGCATCGGGCTATAGGCTGCGCCGAAAACCGTCCTCTAGAATCTGGATTTTTTCACAAGTCCCGTAGAGCTCCAGGGCTGGGTGCTCCACATCTCTTCGGGCGGGAGGGTCCTCGGAGTGCCAGGGAGTAGCAAACGGTGAGTAGCATGGATGCCTTGCATGTATGAGGACGGCCGAGCTCTACCTGTCCAGTCCTCAGAAGGAACCAGCCACCAGTCTTGCCTTTGCTGCGTTTCTTACGCCGTGGTCTCAGGAACCTGCTTGTAAGAACACCTTGGTTCCTATTTTGGCTGGTCCCCGTGATGTGTGTATCCTGCTATTCTGGGCTTATAGAGCCAGGGGGGTCTCGCTCCTAGATTAGGTTGCTTGTGTTGCCAGGTTCCTGGTGACCCAGAACGAGATGGTGAAAGCCGCGACCATGGGCATTGGCTTGTCCCTCCTCGTCTGCTTCATTGTGCTCTTGCTACCTGCCTGACTCCATAGAGCCCTAAAGCCTCCCTAGTGGTCGCCCCGCTCCTTCTAGTCGATGGAACAGCAGACGGCCGGACGGACAAAGAATGAACTTGAACATGCACCAGGCATCGTGATCGGAGAGATGTCAGCCAGCAGAGCCCTGAAAAGGCGAAACCCTAAAAAGGGGTGCCTACAGTAAGGCCTAAGGCCCGAAAGCATGAACCACACCGTCTCCAGAGCCCTTCGATAGCCGAGGCTGACAACTTGGAACTGGTGGACCTCCACTTTGGGACTTATCTGCACCTCTAGGTGGCACTTTGTTGGGGCTTCTATAGATCCTTCGGATTAAAAGAGGGGGAAAGGGATGCCGCTTTGAGGGGGCCGTTGGAAGCAGCTGCATCTTCTTCACTGCGAGCCCTTGGTTCAAGGTATCATCTGCATCACCGCCACCTTCCTGGGTGTTGTCCCACTGCTTGGCTGGAGTTTGGGCGAGAACGAGTGTATCTCGGCAGCCACAAATCCCAGGCCCACCTCCGTTTATTGAAAGCCTGGAGTTCCACGTGGCTTCTCACGTTTGTGCCCTGACGTGGCTTTCGACTGGAAAGGCTGGAAGCCTAGTCGATCCTCGCGGCTGATCCTGAGGCATCTTTATGATCGCAACGGTCGGCTTGTCTGTGGATTATACAGCCGCTGGGCTGACAGGAACCTTCCGTGGCTGCGACTACATGCCTTAGCTCGATGTTTCGGGCCCATGACGGAAAGACTTGCTAAGGCTGCTAAGGCCAACCTCAAAGACCTCTCAAGTATAGCGGGTACCCAGCTTTCGCACAGTCGGCCACCTTCTTGCTCTCTGCGACCTCCCCAAGTCAAGTAGCCAGTGGTCAGAGACGATCAGGATGTAGATATGGCCATGTGTACACTTCGGCAGAACCCAAGCTTTTCCAGGTTTGCCCAGGTTGCATTATGCTGGCAGCAAGTTGTTATTCCTCGTTGCCAGTTCAGTGGGTATACAGGGGAGCGGAGGCAGCGAATCGTGTGGTACACTTCAGATGTGGTAGCATCATGGTCGGGCACTCCTGGGAAACCCCAGTCCTATGTCTTTTCAGGTGCACATGCTGCACGCGTACAACAACACGCCAGCGAAGACACGCACTGCCAGGGTCGGGGACTGGCAGTTCGGATCAAAGCTTCGGCCAAGAGGGCCGCGTAAGTCGGGCTTAGTTTCTGGGCTTCGAAGGGCTGCGAAAGTTGATCTCCATTCTCGGTTCCGATCCGTCTTCATGACATCCCACACGCAAGCTCCTGGTTGTAGTTGTGCTTTTGCCGCTGTGGATTTGGAGGCCCATGCAGCTCTTGAAGAGATGGGCATCTCGGCCCCTTGGCACGGCAGCTGGGAGCCTTGAACCTGACAAGACACCTGAGCCCAAAGCCACTCTGTCGCTTTGAGACCTGTCAGAAGACAGCCCTTCTGTCACTGCAGCAGCTTCTCGGATGGTTTTGCTTCCTCAGAGCAACACCGCACCATTGGATGAATGCGAGGTAGCGAATTCAGCCATCACCACGCTCTTTGCTGCAGCCATGCTGTTCGCTTGTACCTTGGCTCTCGTGGCATTTATGGCTTGAAGTATTCGGAGACTCTTCCTGGTCATGTCCTGTGGTTGTTTCACTACCCCTAGGCGGTAGGGATCTCGTCAAGACACTGCGAGCACTCGCATGTAGCGTGTAGCGTGTTCGCTTACGCCTTTCGCGGGAAGGCGGCTTCTACTTCTTCTTCCAGTTCGGAGGCGCGGCCAAGGGCTCCCAACCCGAGCCTGAAACACTGCGGGGTAGACGACACGCCGATCACGAAGCCTCGAAGAACCAAACTGAGCCCCCACAGCAGCAAGTCCTGGAAACAGGGAAGATCCTTCACCTCTACAAACAGATGTGTGCGAGGTCCCATCTTAAGCCATGAGGTTTCTTTGTGTCGCGACCTCGGCGACTTGGTCCAGGTAGCGTTTCCCATTCAAAAGCATAGAGTATAGCTCCGGCAGTAGAACCCAACGAGCATCGCTCCTTGGTCCGCGCAGACGCTGTCAGATCTTTGGTGCCGAGATTTCGGGAGGTTGTCCTTGGTGCCGCCCCACACGCTCAGAAATGACGAAGTCTCCCGTCAAGCGATCCCAATGACTCAAGCCGTGTCTTCCTCTCCGACAGCACACTCGAAGATACTCGAAGCTTCAGACTTCAGCTTTGAAGCGCATGGATGCATAGTGACATAGTGTGCGAAAGACCGCCTCTCGCGCCTGCAGGCTTCATCTTCATGGTCATCGGCCTTTCGATTCTCATGTCGACCAACTTCCTTATGCCGCTGTCGCCTGCTTGCACAAAGCTGGGTTGGCGCTTGGTCCCTGAGTAAATAGACGTGCCATGTCGAGCTGACTGCATGTCGCCCCGTGTCAGTGCTCAGCCTCTTGGAGTTGTTTTCCCGAGCGTATTTGGTTCCGAGTGCAAGCGCAGGCTCATGCTGATCGGCCCTGAGAACGACCAGGGCACCATCTACAGTGGTTTGGCGACAGATATCCATCAAGTGTAGTGTTGCGCGACCTTCCACTTTGGGCAGGGGGTGTGTTCTTGCTAGTGACGGGATCTGATCTTCCAGGTAAGTCGTTCACGCTACAGCCGAAACGAAAACCAACGGAGCCTTGCAAACGCTTAACCTTTCGCCGTCCTGTGCCGAATCAGGCATGCCCAAGCGCACTACCGTCCAGAAGATTTCAGAGTGAAGCCGGTTGGAAAAAAAAGCCGTGAAGCCTCACCAGCCGCAGCCGAGACAGCAGCGAAGGTATTGCGGTGGAAGCCGGCATAGTGCTAGACTCTAGACTCATCGAGTTTGGACTCCTCAGAACAGAACAGGGGCATGAGTCCAGAGAACAATTGCTATCTTTTGCTGGGCTTGTGTATGTTGGTCCAACAGATTTCGTGCGTCACAAGATTCCTACTGGTAGCTGTTAGAGGCCGTCAGCCTGGATTCTCGTTTGGCCTGGGGGTCTTGTGAGTTGGTGGCTTTAGACATCGTTAGACGCTAACGGCCTATCCTCGCACCCAAAGCACGTTTTTGCCAGCGGCACACGCGAGCCACACAAAGTGGGAGAGCTGCCATGTTAGTGCCGAGTAGTCTTCCCCACACAAGGAACCTGCCAGCCAGTAGCAACCACAGACCTTCAACGCTTGTTCACTGGGCATCAGAGGCACTTTCAGGGTAGCTGTCACTTCACGTGTCCGCAGCGAGTTGTAGGAATGTCTCAAAGATTCATGCGGCGCTTTAGGCAGTACGTGGTCGTCCAAGCTTTTCTTCGGGTGCTCTGCTTCTTGGAGATTGAGATGCTGAGGAGTGTAGTGTTGGCAGGGTGAGGAAGAGCCTACAGAATCCCGCAAGCGGTACCACGGCCCAGCACAGTCCTACCAGCAAAAGGTTGTTTGGAGTATTGGTCCGAAACGCGTGAACTTTCCCAGGAGAGAGGTATTCCTCTGGAACCTTGAGAGCTTAAAACTTAGGATGTTTCTCAAGGTTTCTTGGAGGTTTCGTTTGACTTTGAGACGTTGCCAGGGTGAGCTGAAGCCGAGATCTTCGGCCCCTGGTAGGCGGCTCCTTCAGCGGTGCGGGTAGCATTATTTGCATGCCGGCCCCCCTAAAAACCATGAGGCCTCGGTTAAGGCCGTAAAGCTCTAGGCCCCTGGGCCCTGGACCCCAAGGGTTTAGGGTTTTGGGGTTTAGGGCTTAGTCCTCCAGTCCTGACGAAGCCTAGCCTGAAGACCACTAGAAATAGTAGCAATGTCCCCTTCGAGTCCCAACCTTTTAAATGTGTTGTACGCCGAGACCCTTGTCGAAGTTATGAGTTAAAGCCCTTGAACAACTACTGCTGGCTTTGTGTGCGACCCGAAATCCGCACTCTCGCTCCGCTGGTTTGTTGGGTGCTCCTGAACAACAGGGACCCTTTTCCCGCTTTTCGGGGAGCTTGGATGTGAGGCTCTAACCAGGAGGACCAGGAGGGGGTATACTAGGTGCAGAAGCAGTAGGAGCATAGCTATATACAGACGATAGGGGGATGTGCTCATTCTTACTAAAGAGTCAGACCTGTGGTGTAGCCCTGAACTGAGCACCGGAAACTAAAATGCTTCTTCAGCCGGCATTTGCAACATGTGTGCTGCCATTACAGATTTCAACTTGCTCTTGCAGCAGAGGAAGGCAGGTGCAGTCGAGATGGTTGGGTATGATGCTTCGGGCCAACTTCGCTCTGCACGGCTTTTGTGGAGCTCCTAAGCATTGCAGACCTTCTAAGCCTCGTCCCAAAGATGATCTCGAGCTTGGCTCCAGAGCCCCACATTCACATATATTCACATCCTGCATGATGTGGCGCAAGAGGCTGTTGGGAGCTAGCAGGGTCCCGTGCGGACCGGTGCTTCTTCCGAGCGCGGCAACCTCCGAGTTTCCGCGAGCGCTTACCTGAGGGTCAGGAATGCTTAGGGAGAGGGTTTAAAGTTCAGGGTTCCGGAGTTCCCATCGCCTGCCTAATGGGTTCTGATGGTTCCGGCTAGAAAAGACCTGGATGGAAAGAGGCTGGCAAGGGTCTTCATTAGGAACTGAAGGCTGCCTCGCAGAGCAGGTGATTTTGTTCTACGGAACTCGGCTAAAGGGCAGCGTGTTGATGTGTGTTGACCCTCTGTCAATATACACCTTGCAATATCTTGAAGCGGGCGTCTTTGTCAGAAACACTCGGAAGTAGCGCGAAATGTAAGCAACCCTCAGGCAGTTTTTCCTTCGCCAAGCAGAGGGGGTCCTCCAAAGGCGAACCCTGCGACTGCAAACCCGGAGCTATGCAAAAGAATCTGAAGTCTGTGAAGTCTGCGTCTCGCGAAGTGCAAGGCTTGCTTTGGCACTGCTGCACTCCAAATAGCAGCGCCAAAATGGCAGGAGCACCCCAAGCAAGAGTCTCAGCTCTCCAGGGTTTGGGCTTGCCCGCTTTATAGCTCGGATGCTCTCTCTTGTTTGCACGAGGGGGGGGGGGGGTTCTACAGTGTCCTACAGTCCTACACAGGGCGTTGAGTTCCGCATTGCCAAAAGCAAAGCGACTTCGCACGACTTTCATGGCCCGTTTCTGCCAGTCCTCGGAAGCCCAGGTGCGCGGCCGGAACAGGAGGAAGTAGGAGTCCGTAGGATTCTGTATCATGCAGAAGGAGCGGGTTGTTACGACGTATTGAAGCTACCCCTTGGAGGTGTAGGACAGGCTTTGGCGTGAGGTCAAAAAAGAAGGCTGAAGACTCGTGGGATGGAGCAAGGTACATACCAAACGGGTTTCCTGTGAGAGCAGCTGAGCTGTTGTGGTCCAGTGTCGTTGTGTGGGTCGGCCGAAGGCTGTGCCCGCACAAAAGCCTGGCTTTTGAGGTCGGCGTTGTCTGGCCAACCTCGGCAATTCCGCCTCGGAAAAAGAAGCCGACATCCCAGGTAGAAACCCCTCACGACGGCACTGTCTCGTGTGCGAGTGTGTGAGGGCTTCACGACATTGGGTCCCAGAGCCCCGAGCGACACCCATCCCGAACCCTCCATAGGACGCAGTTGGGTTTCTGCCAGAAACCGAGGAAGGCTGCCCTGATGTGTCTCAGCTTTGCCCATGCGCTGGCACAGACGGAGGCAGCGCAGGGATGCTGGTGCAGTGAGGATCGAGCAGTACCGATACCCGTCAACATATCCGAAGCATTTGAAACACCACTTCGGTATGGGAGGGTTCCAAGAAAGAATCCTTATTCAGCAACCCGGAACTAGGGCAAGACTTCAGGAGACCTACCAGGGCTGTGCGGCCTCCGAATCTGCGGGCATCGCGCAGTGCGAATCCCCAGGGGCTCCTTGCCCTCCTATGGCATCTCTAAGTTGCTGTTCTTGGTGCTCAACTCCTATGATTAATGGTCGCACGTAGTTTGGGGCTTTTCTGGGTATGTATTTAAGTATTCTGGATTCTGGCTACTCGTTTTAATGACGACAGCACATGATTCCCGCTTGTTTATGATTCAGTGCCACCAGCTGACATCTAGCCTGGTCGTTGGCATCGAGGATTTAGGGAGAGGTTGGGCGCACGGCTTCTTACGTGCGGGCAGGAATTCACAGCCAGAGTTTTGCTGGACAGCGGTTTGACTGGAGTTAGCTTGCTGTGCTCTCTGAACCTGACACCTACTGCTGAGGAAAGTTTCTTCTTCGATCAGGAGAAGGACGGGCCGGTTCCGAAGGATGTGCTCAAGAGAACGCTTGCTTTGCGCTTTGAAGGCACAGAGGTGTCCGGAGCGTGGCACTTGGGACCATTCCGGCTGGAGCTGCGACGACGCTCGCTTGCACAGAGCTCACAGCCCTTGCAAGTGTGAAAGCGGAAGCCATGCGGCAGCCTGCGCAGAAGCCTTCGAGAGCATGGAGCTTTCGAGCGCTCAGCAGTGCAGGTTCTTTAGCTCTGACTTGGGATGGTACTCGGATCGGAAACAGGTCGGCTGCGCACAGGGGGCGAGACTCCGAGGATTGGAAGTGTCACACGTACTGCAGCAATCCATCGCGCCCTGCCGAGCGAAAGTCCTGCTCCTCGGCTGAGTAGGCAGCAATGAAGACCTCGTTTTCAGGACTGGAAGCGCAGGATTCAGGCCTGACATATGCCTGGCTTGGTTGACAGAAGGCGAAAACTAAGAAAGCGACTGCATTGTCCGAGTTGCGGCAGTCCAAGAAAGCTCCACAACCCTTTTGGTTTGCGGCGCTTCCACAAAGCAGTTCTCCGCACTTCGGATATCTCCCCTTGCCGAGGTGACAACTGCCCAGAAGTCGAGGCATCTGCTTATCCACACAAGGGCCTGTCCTGAATTCGAGCTTCGGACTCCTGGTCGATGCCATCGGACTAAGGTGTTGCTGGATCAAGTCGGACCTAAATCCCCGCATGCCCTACTCGGAACCCTTAAGTAAAGCACATAAACCCTATCAACTGTAGGGCTTGGCTTGTCAGATATTCCGGTCTTTCGGCCTCTGCTTCGTACAGTAAGTGGCTGATGCGATTGGGGTTGGAAGTGCGCTAGTCGGGGCCATGCCTACCTAGGCACGGTTATATATATATATATACACAGTACACACTCACGTACTTATTGACTTCTGATCCTGAGAGTATGGCATCGGCTCTTTGCTTGTTAGTCCTACTTCTAGTTCCAGGACCTCGTCGCTAAGTTCTCGCATCTTGCATGTAGAGTCAAGCAGCAGGTCACTTCGGCCTGTTTCGACGCGCAGTCCCTTGGAGAACCAGTGCTTCTTTGTCACGGAGGTGCCAGGCAATTCGAAACGGAGTTTTGAAACCTGAAGCCTCAACACCCGTGCCCCTGCGCCCTGCACCATCGCCGAGGAAGACAGCCTGTGAAGCGGCCAAGAGCACCTTGTCAGGCGACCCGTCCCCGGCGCGATCCTAAAATGAGTGGCCCAAAAATGTAAGAATCCTACATTGTGGGTACAATGGCCTTTTTGGGGTGGCTTCAAGAGAAGATGGCAGCTTCGTAGGCGAGCAGGTAACCTTTAAGCTTTCCCGGGACATACAGTCTAACCACATTTGAAAGTTATCCTTTTTTGGGGCAACGAAATCTTTTGGGCTAGACGCGACCAAAAACGATTGGGCTTAGTACTTTGCAAAGCGCTTCGAGGAAGGTGAGAGGCTTGTGCAGTTTTGCAGGCACCCGAAAGCTCGGATACATACGGATACCAAATTTGGCAGGTCTAAAAGGTACCAACTGGATTGCTCTGGGTGGTCTTTGGTCTCAGATGGTTCTTTGGGCTGTGTTGGAGTTATCTAGACCGGAACTCGACATGTGGAGCCTTGCCTGCCATGTGCGAGTGTGAGAGTCGAAAGTTGCCACCGCACCAAAAGGCCACGCTTTTTTCCCCTTCGTATCCCCTGATTTGTTGAGAACTATCAAACCAGGAAACCACCCCCCCCCCCTCTCTCTCTCTCTCTCTCTCTTCTGACACGTGCTGGAATGCGGTCTATGTTGCCAAACGATTGGCAGTCTAGAGCCTAGAGTAAGTCATGTTTCAGGAAGCACGGGACCCCCGTAAAGAATTGATGCTTGCAGCAGGGTCCTGATTATTGCGAGGAAAGGATCCCTAATCTCAAGAAGCATTTGTCACAACAGAATGCAACAGGCTGCGATGTGGATTGCAATGCCGCCAAGAGGCTCCGAGCTTCTAAGGCTTTGTGGGTTTAGGGCAGGGAGATCTGAATATGACTAGTCTGATTCTCTCATGTGGGGCTTTGTCGTCATACAGTAGTATTCCCCCATTAGCGTCCCAACAGAAGTATACCAGAATTCAATATGCCCACGACCGTCATTATTCAGCCCCTACATCAAGCGCTGCGAGGGTTTCGTTTTGTGGGGGACACCTATCCGACTAGGATGTCAGGTGCCAGGGTTGGGTTGAGCCTTTTGAGGTCATAATGCCTTTGATGGTTTGTAATTTGCAGTTCTGCATGGCCAGCTGCTTGCAACAGATTGCTGGCAGGGACCTGATGTCGGCTGCGGTGGCGGCCCTTGTTCTGCTGAGAGTTTCCGATCGGAGCTAGTGCCAAGGGCAAAGCTTAGTTGGTGGACGAGTATCCCCGCCTGGGATCATAGACTTGATCCTGAAGCTGTCATGGCCGGAGTGTTTTAACAGCTCCTACTCAGTTTCCGGAGCCCGGAGCTCCAGCTTCGGAGCGTGGTCAGCCAAGCAAGGCGTGGCACAACTAGAGTAGCCGTCGGAGTGACCAGATGCCATCAGAAAGCATCTCCCATGAAGAAAGAGCGCCGAAGCAACTGAGTCACGGTACATCCACCACAACGACGCTAGTAGTTGACGCGGCTCCCGGCGTGCGATTGAATAAGAATAACAAGAGATCTGCTCACAGTTAATTCCCTCGTCTTCGCCTGTTCAGGCATTTTCGGCACCGGCAGTGGCATGGGAGAATCGGATGCGCGAGCATGTCTTGAACGAACGAGGGGGAACTGTAGACGAGAGCGAAAGGGGTCACCTGAGTCTGAGTGGTCCGTTTAGTCCGTTTCCCTCCATGTTCCCCCAAATAAATGTAACGCTCCCGTGACAATGTTTTGGAGTGCGTCACTTTCTGAGGTTTCCGGTCGTTGTTGCATGCTGCTGCCCTCGGCCATTCGTGGCAAGCGAGCACAAGAGCTGTTATGGAAGCAGTTGCGACACTGGCTCAGCGTGCTCAACACAGCAGCGGGCTTTGGCAGTTGTGATGCTGTTGTGCTTCACTTGCACTCACGCGACACGGCCTTCAAAGCACAGTGTGCGGAGCAAGTGGACTGCTTGAGCGACGATGCAGATTACTTGTGTCGCTGACTGGTCTACTGTCAGCCCTTCCCACACTTGTACGCCATGCATAACAGCGTCCTCCAGCACATAGTTTGCAATACGAGATGGGCGAAGCAGGGCATGTGTTGATACACCAGATGGACGGCGCAAACGGCAACGCACAGGTGGAAGCTCGGTCATACTTGGTGGGCCTTCTATGTCTTAGACCACATAGATGCCGGCCTTGAGGATTCGAGTCATGAAGAACATGAATAACATGTGGAACTGGGCCAGTGCGAATGCCATGTCGGCCGGCTAAAGGAGCAGGCGCTTATTGCGCAGTATGCGGAGCGTGACAAAGGTGTTGTCGTTGTCTTGAGCTTGCTCAGCGATCGCAAACGGGAGACCTCATGATCGACGGACTCAGCATTCGGTGCCGGTGTCATGCCGCTGACACTGGTCGATGAGCTCGGTGGACGTCCAAATGCATTGCACTCCCCCAATAGCTTGGGGCAAAACGAAACCCTGCTAGTTGCAATTCCCCAACAGCTTGACACAAGACAGGAGCCTCGAAATTGGAATCCGCCAATGGCTTGCTGCAAAACGCCACCCTGCTAATTGCAATTCCCCACTAGCTTGATGCAAAACAGTAGCAAATGTTGCAATTTACAGTACTTGCAAACAAACCAAACAAGAAGAGCCAACGTTAGCAAATGAGACCGGGGACCGCCGGCGTTAGGACAAAAAAACCCTCGGCCTGGGAGAATGCAAGACGTCAGTTCAAAAACGAGATGTGCGAGCATGCCTTGAACCAATGACGGGGAACTTTATAGAGTTAAACTTTAGAGGAGAGCGAGAGGGGTCACACATAATAACGCTGCGCACTGTTTTTCTTATCGCACTGACCAAGTAACCCGCGCACGGTGGGGGCGGGTTCAACATGGAAGGAAGACTAAGATTAAGACGCTTGAAGTGAGCAGGAGCATCCGTGTGCTTGAATTCGATGACGTTGAGTAGAATTGACGGTATTCAGCGAATTTAACTCAGCTTGGGACGTCTTTGTCAAACTCGGAAACTTCACTGGGACTTTACGAGCAGTGAGGGGTTCCCTTGTTCCCGTTGACATGGGACGTAATCACTGCCGGTTGAGTTTTGACTTGCGAGTAACCCAGCGGAGAGTGAACTGGTCAGGCTTTACAGCACGTTGCATTCAGATGCAGTTTCACATCTGAGCGACCCACGGACAGACTCCGTTTACTGCACATGCCTTTACCCCAATCTCAGCCAGCCCAACACCTACCATATCCATGGAAGCCGATCTTCCCAAAGCCTAGGCCCAGGCACCAACAACTTTGCCCTAAGCCACTTGCGCGAGCCTGTTGTGAGCAGACAAGTGGGGTTAAGTCAATGTCACTACCATCGCGAAATAACGTTGCTTTTGTGCCAAGTCTTTTTCAGTTGTGTTGTTGCTCCAAAAACATGCGGCTTGGCCGTTGCAGATACGCCCGAATTGTGAGCCCTGGCCCAGCAGAAGCGTTCAAGCAGAGATTCTAAGCGCAAGAGCTCTGCAGGAGAGCTGCACCGCTGCCCTGAATGGCTTTAAGCATTACCAGTTGCGGTACCATAACGTAGCGTTGCCAAAGTTCGATTAATGAGTCGGCATCGATGTTCTTGCACAATGTAACAACAACCGTTGGTAGCACTTCCCTGCTGCCAAATGCACTCAACTCATGTTTATTATCTTATCGCGATACTGCATTGTGCCGGGAACTCGGAACAAATCTGTTGCGGAACCGTCTTGGCAATCTTGGTCAATCTTGAAGATTGCTTTGGCAAACTTGCTTCAAAGAATTGTTCTAAATTCCCCGCACAGTGCGATATTGCCAGATAGTACTTACAGCGGCAGCTTCTGCGCCCTTGCATCCGAGTGGGGCACTCGTTGTATCAGCACACTTGCAAGCTAGTTCCTCGGTTCTTGAGGACGATGGAATGGAGACTCGCATGTCAAAGGATGCTAATTTGCGACCACTCCGCGGCATGTTTGCGGCTCGCATGTGCAGATCAGTCATGCAACCTTCCTGTTATTTTTCATTTCAGCCGAATCCAAGAGTTCGCAATTAGGCGGCCTCTACTTGCCGACGGCCCCACCACCCCAAGCAACCTTCCCAGACAGTCGCATAAAACTGCTCCCAGTTTCGTAGTCATGCCTCAAGCTATCGCCAATGTCGGGCTGCACTACTTGGAGCATCCAGGCAACATTTGACTGTGGGTCTCGGCCACGTGGCATGCTCAGGGCACAACAGGAAGTTCAGCGCGAGGTTTTGCAGCATCCGCAGGGCCATCCGCATCCTCAAAGAAACGAGCGCCAAAAGCAGTCCGGTTTCCCGCCTTGCGTCGTAGACAGCGCCAGGCGGTCCAGACAGCATTTTCGAGAAGCTTGGGGGTCAGGCGAAAGGGCCGAAATTACGGATCAGCTTTCGTGCTTCGGTTTGAGAACCGCTTTTGGAGTTGGGGATCAGTCTTTCGGTAGCTTCCTGGGAAGTTCTTGCTCTTTCGTTGTGTCCAGAGCTGCGGGCCGCGTCGCAGGACTTCTTGAGGTGCTCTTGGCTTGGGAAACTCCTTGGTCGCTGTTCGGGTTCAGGGGTTAACTGCTCCTGGTGCCATCCGGTGCCATCGTCGGTAACTTGGCTCTTGCACCATCAGCCATGCAGAGCTCTCGACTCGACTCATGACACATGCAATCATGTCATATGGACCACACTCCCTCACTGTCGTAAGCAAGACTCGGAAGCCAAGACCGCCTCCAAGCTGTCGAGGAGGCACTTGAAAAGTTCGTGGATGGCTTCTACAACATGATGGCTACGGACCGGCCCATTCCATGGAGTGCGATTGCGCGGAGTAGAAGTTCTCACATCTCGGATCCGCCATTCAAGACTCTGAGGATTAGTGCAAGGTACCTAAACATTGCAGTTTTTTTGACTCACAGACTGGCACGAAGAATCATCTCACAGCACACAACGCAAGTATCACCCTTTTGAATGAATGTGTTTGGAAGCCGCGGGTGCCGGTGTCGCGCCTCCAAGCCTGTTTCAGTAGAGTACTTACCTCACCAATTTCAGCCTACCCATTTACGAAGTCCCCTGATTCTGGAAGCAGATGGATAAGCAGTGCTCAGACTCACCAAGCGATTTCGAGAAAGAAGCTCGGAATATTCAAGAGATGGAGGGAAATAACTGGCTGGAAGCCTCGGTTCTGGCCAGCCTCTTCTTTCCTTGAGGCGGCTGAATGGCCTCACACCTTCTCTGCTTGCGCGGCGGTTTGTTTGATTCCGCACACTCGGCTTCTGTGGATGTGTTGCAACACTGCGCCTCACCCACTCCACTCTTGTAGCCTCCTGAAATCCAGCCTGAGACTGATACGTCATGCTTGCACTAAGGCCTCTATTTCCTAGCTATACGTGGTGGATCAGTGTCAGTGAAACTGATGTTCCGGAGCGTGCCATCAGAACTCGAAAGGAGCAGCCCCTTGTTGCAAGTCTGCTTCGACTGTTTCTGAAGTGCTGAACTCTGACTCGTTCGGAAAGCGCGCAACAGGGCGACAAGCTTCCAAAGCCAACTGTGGTATCTGCAATCACGGCAGGCAGTGTGCAATGACAAGACTGCTATCCGTTAGAGTCACGAGAGATCGGTCATCCAGGACAAAGACATGAAGAAATTCTTCGAGAACAGGAACCTTATTCATTTAAAGCTTCTTGGCTGGCATCTCCACTGGTTTCATCTGCTTTTTCTTCCAGCACAGGGTAAAAGCACCAAAGATGCGCTTACGGTAGCTTTAGTCTTCGGATTGAAATAGCCATGACCACAGTCAGTTTTGTCTCAGAGCATCAAGTGATGTAACTGCATCAAGGACTCGCAGATCGCCAGGCTATGGTTTTATAAGGCTTTCTAGGATGTAAGGGTGTTTGCCAGTCAGAATTGCCAGAGGAAAAGAACCGTCGACTATCTTGGCGGCCTTTGGGGTGGCAAGGCCGGGGTCAGCACAGCAAGATCCCGCAAGTCCTGGCACAGTTCTGCAAGCCCCGGGACCTCAGGCACCGTCCAAAAGGCAGCGACTGCGAGCTTGTACTACAAAGCTTGTCACATGTATTATGCATGTGCGAAGGTGCCCTACATGTCGTGTTATGCATGTATGTATGTGCATGGTTGCATGCATGGACGTATCTTGGATGTGTGCAGGGATTCCTGACAACGGTTGGATGGATTCAACTATGTATGTACGGCATGGTATGTATGCACGCTCTGTCATGTAGTGTACCGAAAGGAATGGAATGGCACGAAATGCTGCGCTAATGCTAAAGTGACAGCCATGCCATGCTACTGCTGCTGCTGTGCCATATAACCCTTCGTCTTTGCAACGATCTCCCATACTAGTGGCATGCCGAAGCATCGTCCCAAAGCTTCTTCTCGGAAGGCATACCGGGGACCGGACCTTTTCCTTGCCCACACAGGCCCGGACGAAGAATCAGGGAGGGGCCTGCTCACCAGTAGCTATGCTGAATCCCTTAGTCACCGAGTCACTTTTGCATAGAATCAGGGGAGCTAGTTGATAAGTTATAATGGCGGGTGATACGTTTCGGTTCTTGGTCCAAGGTTGCCGCCAGGAGTTCGAAGCGTCCTTGTTCCGTAGTACATGTAATCCCACCATCCTTTTTTTACCTGGTCCGGACACACTGTAGCGGTAGAGTGATTCATTGAAGATTCGAGCCTCAGGCTGTTGAGTGTAAAGCAGGGGCATGCCGGCTCGTACCTGCCAAGACCACTTTGTTCGACATGGAACAGCATCCTGGGCTTCATCCGGAACAGGTTTGGGCGTCACGGTGAAGATTTTTGAACTGATGATGAAGTGCGTCGAGAAGCAGCAGGGTGCTTGGGGCTTCCGGGGGAGGGGCATCACCAGGGTCCGCTTGGGCTCAGTGTTCAGGGAAAGGGAGCTAGACTCGTCGTGCGAACATGCAGCTGCTTGGGGCTTATGGAGCTTAAAGAGATTGCGCAGGTTCATCCAGATACTCTCTGATAAGCGGTTTGCCCCATATCTATCACCTGGAGAGAGGCTGTCGAGCATCACGGTCGCATGAAACCTTCTGCCTGTCGAAGCTTTACTGAGGTTGAAAGTCATGAAGGCAAGCGCTGCTGTTTCTTCTCAGTTGTTTGTGTGTGTGTGTGTGCCCGTGCGCTTGCGTGCAAACATGGATGGCGGATATAGGGCTCAGCCAGAGGCTTGCCAATGTGAGGGGGTGGGGTTCTTTGTGGTTCAGAGTTCGGTTCCAGGTAACACCCCGGATCCCGGATCCATGGCTCAACGCATCTACAATTTTTATAGGACAGCTTCCAAGCATACAGAGCTGGGGAATCTCTCGCAGGTCAACAAAGCTCTGGCGAAGCAGATCGTCAGTGACATCGAGAGCGCCTTGCCATGGTAAGGCTCAACTCCTTCTTGACACCATGAAAGCAATGCAAGCTCTTAGGTATGAAAGAGCCACTGTGCGATCCAACGGGAAAGCTGGCGAAGGCGCTGGTGTTTTGGGCTGACTGCGCGGTAGTTTGGCGTTGGGTGGGTCGCCTGCCTCGATGTCTCGATGTAGCTCTTTCGCCCAGCGGCCCCAGGTAGAATCGGTCCTAGTTTAGAGTTTAGAGAACTTCAAATGATGAAACCCTAAACTGTGTTCGGTCTTTGCCGGAGCTGCTTCTCAGCATGCCCCCTGCGCACCGCGCACAGGAGTCAAGAGTGTGCACTGGCCTGCAAGGAGCAGAATGCCAAGAACTTGGCCTTGGGCGACCCCTTCGATGATGCTGCGAATCGCAGGGGCCCCGAGCGTGTGGGCTTCCCCCAAAGTCCTATCCTTGCACCGGGGAGTAAGATTAATCTATGGGATTGATTCGAACATTTGGGGACTTTCAAAGCCAGCGGAAAGGTAAGGTTCAAGGGTTCGGAGAAGTAGGCTTCGGCGGTATTCTCATGCGCCCTTGGCAACCTGTCGGAAACTTCTATGCGGCTTGTGGTAGCCAGGAGCCGCATACGCGGAGTTGCAGCGGAAAGAGGAGGCGCGTTGTGAGGATTTGCGTGTTGGGAGGCGCCGTAGTTTCACCACTCCAGGATGTGCAATTCGTGAGAAAGCATGCTTAGACCTGTTCATGGGAAACATAGACTCCTTCGCAGCCCACAAGCTTTCAAGCTGCGCGAGGCCGCCATAGCAGATCTAAACAATCACCGCAGGAGAGGCGCCAGAAGATAATCGACTTCCGCAAGCGCAAGGAGCCAGTGATCTCAGCACTTTGCTTGTTGCTGTCGTAGGTCTCGGCCTCGTCTCACTGTGGTGCAGTGTCGGACATTCCTCGCCTTCAGTAGGCCATGCTGCCATAGCTCATTCAGCTGATGCTAAGGGCGGAAGCAAAAGAGAAGGCAAAGAGCAAGAAGGACGGCGGGAAGGCTGGTTGTCTCGAAAGTTTCGACGGCAGACGTGACACGCTGTCAACAGCTCCAGACTGTAGTGGCAGCGACAGACAGACCAAAATAGAAACACATGCACGTTCACGCACACAATCACAAAGCAGAAGAAACAAAAGCAACAAGATGAACATCACGACACCGCACCCAGGCCGCTGAGTTTCCACCGCCAAGCTGTTCGCTTCTGAAATCCTTGTTGCAGTCTCGCGCACAGGCGAGGGAACCCAGCAAGGACTCCAAGGAGGCTCGGAGATCCTCTGAGGGTCAAAGCTGATTTTTTTGAAAGCTTCGGAGTGCTTCGAGCTCGCGCCCAGGCAGAGGCTACCAAAGAGGAGCAGGTCCAGGCCCAGGGCTGCATCTACATGGAACAACACAAAAAACACCCCAAACCAAGCCCCAAAAGACCTTCATTGCGCAAACTTAAAACGTTATAAGTCCCTGTAAACCAAAATTCGACTGGAAGGAGCGACCACCTTCCGTGGGCAGCTGCTCGGATAGCGAGGAGCCGCCAATTTGGGGCTTCAAGGATGAGCCTGGGAAATCCTCCAACATTCCAAGAGGGGTTGGCAGAGTTTGAGGCTTCACAGCTTTAGGCTTTAGGGTGTGCTCTGGGGTTTAGGGCCTGAGGGGTTGAGTCTTCCGGGGTGGGTTCTTGGGCTTCGAGAGGCGTATGCGGGCTTCTTCTAGGGATTACGCCTTGAAGACTGGGGCCGGCTAGGGTTCCTCAAGTTTTACGGCTTTACGTTCTCCAATCGTGTCACATCGCACCTCAGTTGCCTTCACGACATCCCCAGATATGCACGACCTCGCATGCAAACCCTGATACAAAACAGGAAACCTGCAAAAAGCCCCTCGGAAGGATTCGGCGCGCTTGGCTCATCTGAAGCCAGCGGCTCCAAAGCCGGAGTCCACGGAGGCGGAGCTTCATCCCTGGTCTGGGGCATCGGGGCCTTTGAAGGCATATCGCTCTTATCCCTTCTGCAGCTATGCAGGTCTCCAACGTGGATTGCACGGAGCCGAAGAAAGAGAAGAAAAGCCAGAAGGACTCGGTGATTCGGCCTGCTCCGTTTCAATCGGGTGTACGTCGAAGGCGAGACTGTGCCCTAGCGGTAGCTCAAGCTTTAGGTCCTCCCCATGGGGCTCTCCAGAGTGGAACTAGATCTATTTTGTGCGACCTAACGACTGCAGCGCAGGAGCGGAAGCCTTCCAGCAAGGGAAAGGCCACATTGCCAAACTGAGCTCAACGGGATGAGTTTGGTGCAGAGTGTGGTAGCCTGCAGTGCGATGATACGCCGCTAGCCTGGAAACCCATATATTTTCAAGTGCACTGTTGCAAGCCCTCGTGCCAGGAGAAGAAGGACCGCCCCCCGCTGCCGTACCTCATGATGTGCAATATCGAAACTGCCAAGTACAGCACCCCGAAAGACCACCTGATGCATTGGTTCGGTTACAAGGCTGCTCAGCACCTGCCGAAGACTCTCACAACTTCACACTGCCGCAAAAGCTGCGCAGGAGAAGGGCCACCGGAAGCAAAGCTCCCCGGTGAACTCCTATTTAACCACAGCAAAAGTCGAGCAGAACGCCGAGGCCAGCCAAACAGGGAACAGTTTTCGCTGCCATTGTTCGCACAAATCTTTGTCATACTGTACTGATTGAGCCGGCGAGGTGAGAGACTGGGAGAGCGACGGATAGAAGAGGGAGAGATATCAGGGCAGGGGGGAATTGTTGGGGGAGCTCCCCTGCCCACAGAGAAAGAAAAGCAACGTCTCTCCAGCAACAATCGGTGCCGTACAAGATCCTAGAAAGACATGTGCAATAAACCTGGTCTCACGCCGACTCGCACCTGTTGGACCTCGCCTGGCTTGTCCGAGTTGTGAGAGCGTAGAGGATCCTAGAAGGAAAGAGCACTGAGAAAAATTATGCCCTTGACTCCTTAGCTCCGAATCACCTTTGTAAACTCCAATTCGCAAACCCAAACCAGCCTGTCCCTAACCTCACCTGCGCAAGCCCGGAATTTTGAAAAAAAATGCCGCCAACGCAAGCAACAACGTTATTGATACAACAGCAGCGCACGTCGTTTGTCAGCTTTGCTCATCAAATGGAATCGCGCCTGTGTCGCAGAGAGGTCCACAACTCCCTCAGCCCAACAGCAGAGAGAAAGAGTCAGTTGTTGGCGGTGCTGTTTGTGCTTGGCTGATGCTGATTACTGACATTACTGTTTCAGCTGGCAAGTCCTTCCTTGTGTTGCCAAGTCGCCGTCTCCATATGTACACATATGTGCATACAGCAGATCTGATGTGTGCACAAATACAATAAAGAAGTGCGCACACACACACACACACATGTGTGTGTGTGTATGTGTATGTGTGTATGTGTGTGTACCTACGCTTGAATGTATTCTTCTCTTTGTATGTTTGTGTAAAAAGTCGCTATGTGAACAAAAACAGATCTTTCCGCTCAGGCTCGCTCCGGTGACTCCGGCCTCTACTCGATGGAGAGGGGGGGGGTAGAGTCGGGTAGAGGGGAGAAGGGGGAGCGTGATTTCATGCTGGGTTTCAGTCCATGGTTCTTGGGCAGGGTTAGGACCCGCGATGTGTGCATAGGGGTTCAACGTGTATCTAATTTGATATTCAGTTCTCATCTCTTTTTGACCAGGCACCTTGGACATCGAATGCAGAGACAGCAGAGCCAAAGAGCTTGCCTCCAAACCTCTGATTCCAGGAGACGACAGTGGGCAACCGGACAGAAGCATTCTCAGAGCGTTGCGAGGCGGACCGCTTGTTGCAAGTTGTTCAAAAGGTTGCCTCCTGAGAGGGGCTGAGGGAAACCTGAAAGCTTAGGAAAATCGGGAGGAAGTTGTTAAGAGTTGCATGGAACAGGACGGCGTTTCATGTTGTTGGGGGCATTTGCGGGCGAAGATGTGTATGGGCAAGGACTCCCTTCTGAATGTCCAGTACGCAGAAATACCAAAGTTACAGCGAGTCGAAGATCAGGCCACGGAAGAGAACGGAGATCCGGAGGATTGGTCGAGTGTCGACGAGGACCCGTGGCGGCTGCAGAGATCAAAGCTTGCAGTGGCTGCATGGGGGTCACGTTGTTTTGGGCGTGGCCCGAGGTATGCTTGCTGCTAAATCGTGCATGAGTCCATGCCCGGAATTTGCGAGACGCTGTTTGCTTCGATAGCCGATAGCGCCCTTTGAAGATGCCAGTCCATGAATGTCCTCTATAAACTCGCATGGAGCTTTATCATTTTATCTGGATGCTCCTAGTCGGTGTCAGAATTTCGGCAAGCCGAGCTCATGAGCAACCCTGCGACGCACTTGGACTCGCGTGGCAGATGTGGGTTCTCTCGAAGGTGTTGTGAAAAGGTTTCTCGAAAGGCATTTGTGCCCCAGAAAGCCCCAGCCCCAGACATGGGTTTTGAAAAAACCCTACGCTGTTCTCTACGAACTGCCTGTCTGAGCCCCCAGCTACCCACCAGACCACCCACCCACCACCCAACTACATTGGTACTTTGCTGTACATGTTGCATACTTGTCAGACGTTCGTTCCATCTCTCACGTGGTACAGGCTCCATGAACTTTGCCTTGCGCAAGCCTCACAGCGCTATCCAGGATTCTTCCGTGACCTCAGCGCGATCTGCAGGCACCGAAATGTCAAATCGGATCAGCCTCATTAGCTAGAGAGATCTCGGGACTCCTCAGGTCTTCAAGAGATAGCCGCTAGCCTGTGCTGATCTGCATCCAGGAAGATGACCGGCTCTGCATCCGATTAAGCTTTGTGCAGTATTCTCTGTCTCTCTTTCTCCATGAATATATAAATTATGTGTATATATATATATATTATGCGTATATGTTATATTTATTCATTACTTATACTTACTCATTAGCTATGATTTATGTTTGTGTATGCACCTGCACACACACAAACACGTGTGTTTCCCTCCTGGTTCCTATTTGGTTGCTCGGTTGCCTCTCCACGTACTGTTTGGTTTTGGTGTTCTGCCTGCCACCCCCTCCCAGGCTAAAGTGGATTGTTGAAAGCACAGCTTGTAAACTAGCTCCAAGGCCTTGCAAGATGTTTAGCCACATGTCTTCAAAACTAGCTCCAGGGCCTTGCAAGATTTTGGTCACAAGTTTTGAACTAGCTCCATGACGGTGCAAGAGTTTTTGGTCACGAAATTTGTAAATTAGCTCCAAGGCCCTGCAAGGTTGTTGGGTCACAAACTTTCTAAACTAGCCTTGCAAGGTGGTGGTCACAAAGCCTCTCAACTAGCTCCAATGCATTCCAAGGCCGTGCAAGAGTTTTTTGTCACAAAGCTTCAAAACTAGCTCCAAGGCCTTGCAAGATTTTGGGTCGCTTTTAACTAGCTTCAGCTTCAAAGTTTTGCAAGATTTTTGGTCCCAAGTGTGTCGCTTACGACTGAGCCGGAACGATTATTGCAATCCGGGCAGCACCGAAACACGATTTCGTGTCGTTTCACGAGCAAAATTGAGAACTCGACTCAGTTCGGCCTGCCAGGTGCCTGTGAGATGATGGACTGGAGGTGGAGCCCCGACATCTCGCCATGGACACCTGGGCGTGCATTGAGAAGTTGTGGGGCTTTTCGCTGTGCCGATGTTATGAGTCCAAGAGTTTCGAGGTGAAGCTCAGGGTGCGTAGAGGCTGAAACCAGAGCTCACCCGAAAGAAGCCCAAGACGTGCTTTTTACTTGCATGGTGCGCGGTTTGCCAACGAAGTGTGTCCAGGGGACTTTTGGAGTGTGAGTGTCATGCTGGTTTTGCTGAAGGAACTCTCCCTGGGGGTCTCCCGTGGGCACGGTCACGATGACGTTCGAGGAGCGCTTCTTGTGTTTCCATGGTCCCCCTACCACGTCAAAATATGTCCGGTGCTTGGGTTTGAATTCAACAGAGCGTACCCGGATGCAGCCTGTCTCCGATGCACCGATGCGGTCTCATTTTCACGTCGTTGAGATATTCATACTGCTTGTCGCTGCTTGTCTGCAACACCTTGACAATGACTACACGCACTATGCATAGCTATGAATCTGAAATAAGCGCCGGCATGATGTTTGTCTCTTCGCTTCCTGGTTCCTTGAGGATGGCAGCTTGCCCGCTTGCGATGGCGGAATTGAGGAGCCACGATGTCCAAGGCGTGTTCGGATTGAAGTGCCGGGTGCTGTAGGAAGAACTGTCATCACGCCAGAGGTTCGGGTTGCTGAGGGGCGAGAGATTACGACTAGCCTCAGAACGATCACGGCACGGTGGATGGAACGGCTCTACAGCCTACATGCACGATTAAGACTTTGATAAATGGGCTTTTCGAAGCATCGAACAAAAGGCTGCAAGAAGCCTCGAAATGCGAACTGGGGCTTCGGCTAAGATCCTGCGTCTAGTCTTGTTTTGAGCCCCCTGGTCGAAGGAGCTCCAAAGTTGACCTCCGAAGTCCAAAGATCCAAAGCAGAGAGTCAGACTCGCAGCACGCCTGTGTCCAGCCAGGTCTGTCCAGCTTCTGCTGGATTGAAAGCATCGACGAGAGCTGTTGTGCAGTCGCCGCAACATGTTCAAGTCGGGAGTTTTCGGAGTATCGTGCCGTCGTGCCGTTCTTGGTCTTACCTGAACCAGGCCGAATAAGTCGCCCGGCTTGCGCTGTTTATAAAGGGAAGCGGAGGCAGAGTATGATGGAAGGGAGCTCCCACGAAGGAGAGGGTGACGCGACCTCAGCGCATGCAGCCTGATCTGCCAAAGGCAAAAGCAAAAGTCTTGAGAGGGAGGGCGAGTGTAAGCCCCCAGCAAGCAAGCAAGCAAGCAAGCAAGCAAGCAAGAGGGCGAGAGAGAAGGCGAGCGAGCGAGAGACACACACACACAGACACAATCATGCACACATAATGAACACATGCGTGCAAAGATGGCATGCAAGCTCCAAGCATAATATACACCAGGGTACGGGAGGGAGGAAGAGAGAATGTTTATGTCAAGTATGCGGAAGTTTAAACCACAATCTCGGAGATGTTTAACGCCCCGGATGTGAGATCCCAATTGCATTCTAGCGTAGTCTAATGGAATCTAAATGGTACAGCCACGGCATAGTCTATAAGAAGCACTAAAAAGCACTGCCGGCCGATCGAGGGTAACCCGGGAAGATAGACAGAGAATGAAGCGGGGGTTAATTCCGTAGCCACGGATGCACATGGATACTTTCGGGGTCCTTGATTCCCAAAACATGCCAGAAAGCGTGGGTCGAGCCATCTCCTCCTTTGATTGTCCGTGTCCCTTCGCTTGACACCGCCGCCTGCTAGTTTATGATGCTCTTATTCAAGAAGCTGCAGCAATGGCAACTCTGCAAGACCAAATCTTTGCAGAGGGAGCGCGACGCAGCACGGACCTGCGATCTCGCTATACATGTCGGCATGTAGGCTGCAGCGTCTCACACCGGAATTCAGTTCAGGGCGCGGCAGTGGGACATTCCAAGCATGGGCGATTGCAAAACAGGCTGTAAGATTTTTTAATACTCACATCCGCTCTCCCTGATATCTCCCCGTGCAAGTTTCTTGCTGCCTTGATTGTGTCATTCGTTCGTCCAGCCTTTCAGAGTCTTTCCAAAAGCTCCCTCATGCATTTCTTCAATGGCTTCTCTGTGCCTCTGCTCGGCCATTGCTTCCGTCCGTCTTTCCTGTGCACAAAAATCAATAAAACTTGTCACTCCCTTCTGTCAGTTCCTGACTAAGGCAGCTCGTTCGCATTGCCTCAAAGAGTTCATGTCATTTTGGCAATAGCACTGAAAAGACTGGGTGCTAGGAAACTAGGACTGTCACAAAACAGAGGCAGGGGTTGGGCGGCTGCTCTCTCGGAAGCCCATGCTGAGAAAGCTTCAGTGGCTCCCACTGCTCGCAGCCCGCGGCGCGGCCACCGAGCCTGGTTACTGTGGGACTGTGACAGCTAGCAGAGCAACGGGGTTCTCTTCTACGGCTCCGTACTCTGGCACTGTGCACCCAAGGCATATCCAGGACAGGACACCTCAAAGGAGTTTGTTGCTGAGGTTGGCGCTGCAGCTGGAGAAGGAAGGTTACTGGGCTCTGCTGTGATGGCATCGGTGGCACGTGCACAGTGCCCCTGCCCGCTCTCTCTCTCTTGAGAGGAAGGGTCTCTTCCGCCACGAGACCCTGTTTACTACCAGTAGGAAGAAAGAGTGTGCAGCCCGCGAGGCCCGGCAAAGCACGATATTAAATTTGGACCATAGGGTGATCGCTCGTCTCTTCGCCACTTTATGTATGTTGACGCATGTTCGCTCAAGGCCACACGACAGCCACGCAGCTTTTGCACTTTGAGGGTTTGTATGCTGTCAAGCTCCTGTGTGACCGGGACTGGCTCTGCTTGCGGCAGTGCATGAGCGTCTATGTCGGTAGCCCTGTCTGTTTTGCTTCGTGTCTTCGTGTTCGTCCATTGATGATTTGTTGTCGCTGCGAAGCCAATCAGCTCGTTGCAAGGTTGTGTGCCTTCGTTCGGCTCATTTCTTCAGGTTGTAGCGTGAACCGGGTCCCTGGCGGGCTGCATTTGCCACACCATTGCTCCTTCTCGGAACTCACTGAGAGTTGTGTTTTAAACGGGCCATGGCTTGATCGCACACCTATGGGAACCTAAATGCAAGGGGTGCCTTATGTGTATACGTATATAGGCTGTCATGGCTTGCAAGCCTTTTGGACGGGTTTTAAGGTTTCAGCAAAGCTTGCAGCGCGCTCAGTGGTCTCAAGTTCAGGAGCCGTCGTGATGGTTTGAGGCCTCGAGGCCTTACAACGACGTTGCAAAGCAAGTGAATGCTTCACAGGTTAACTGACTTCGCCGATGGGATCGGGAGGTCATGCTCTAGGCTGTCCGATAGTTCGTGACCTTGTTAGGAAGGGGCAGGGGTGCCTACAAAGAGCTCCGTGTCATCAGCAGGGCTTGCTGTGCGAAGTTGAGTTCCTGTTTGGCGATCAAGCTTTGTCAGTGTGTGCTGGCTGGATTGGACAACGCAGAGCGGCCAGAGTTCAGCAATTATGTTGGCATGCTGTACACGGGGAGCGCTGGCGTTCACCCACCGGATCCATGTGGGTAAGGCCACGAAGACTCGTAGGGGCAATGTATGATCACCGGTTAGTTTTGTTTTGCACATTCGCCTTCTGCATGCAAATCGGCAGTGGTTTCCAAGACTTGGATGTCCTCGCGGCAGCATAGTTCAGAGCTATTGCCTGTCAAGTTTGCCACTTGTGGCAGTAGTTGCTCAGTTGACGTTTGCACTCGAGCCCTCGGGTAAAGCTGGCAGCTGCGAGCCCTCCGTCTTGTCCTGCACCGGATTGCTGCATACAGTCTCCATCACCCTAGCCCTATAGGCCCTAGTGTTGGCAGAGCATGAGTTTCAGCGCAGTCCTCTAGCGAAGAAAGGGCACCTGGAGGGTTCCACCCTGCCGCGCTTCTTGACAAACTGTCACACGGCCGATGCAGGAGAGAGTCTGAACACACAGAACTTCAACCTGACATGGAGTTTAGGGGTGGATTACGTCGCGCCCGTGTCTTCTTCTTTCTTGGATAGTGGTTGCGGTCCTATACAGTTGGGAAAGAATTTCCCACAAAACAACATGGGTGCCATGGTTCTGCGCGCGCCACTTCCCGATGATTAGACTATTAGAAGTCTGCAAGTTCTCATCCTGCCCTGCTTCAGATTCTGCACTGCCTGCGGAGGTCAGACGGAGCGTAAGGCAGGCTCCCTGCGACGAAGGGGGGTCTTTGTGCCAGTCTTAACCCTCATTGTAATTGAGATCTCGCTTAGCGGCGGCCGGATCCACAGCTATTGGCCCGCTGGATCCGACTGCCAGGTGAGGGCTTCGAGAAGAGACGCGCTTGTCAGGCAATTTTCCTCCATTGACAAGCCTAGCTGGCAGCCCAGGCGTTCCGCTTAAACTTGAATCGTCCGATTATGTTGCATAAAGCACGGAATCATCATGTGAAGTGCCTTACACCCCTTTACCTGATACGCCTGCTTGAGCTAGATATGAGTCCTACCTCGAGCAAGGGGGCAAACAAGCCTGGATTTCAGTTGCCCAGCAATCATGCATGTTTCCTTGGGGAGTGGCTTTGTCTGTTTGTGAGAGTGCTCCTTGGCAGCTGCAAGTTTGTACACCAGTCGTGACTGCCCAGCAGACACCGCCTAGATCCTGCCCATTTCGACCAGTCAGCTGTCGTAAAGGCCTGTACTCTTCCAACTGCCACCCATCACTAGTGCCGACAATCGCGAAAGTCTTCAGCAGATAAGTCTGGGATGGAAAAGAGCCCTCGAAACTGTAGAAGCACATCAGAAGACCGATGACATTTGGCAGTCGCCATGCCACACATGTTGCACCGCAAGGAAGCAGAGTCGTGTGAGAGAAATCCGTGCTGCAGCAATTGCTGGCTCGACCGTAGCCAACTGAGCGCATGTGCTGAATTCGAAGCGGGTTGTTCATCATGACGCAGCCGCCTGCAGAAACTTGATGAGAATGCCATGCACGAGTGCGCTTTATGTTGAAAGGCCAGGGAAATAGATGCAGGTTATCGACGTCATAACTGGGTTCAGAAGTCCCGAAGTCTTGTTATCCCCGTACGCGTGACGTGCAAGGTACATATCCCTTCAGGGACAATGTAGGCCCAGCGTCAGCCTTGAAAGGAGCGCCGTTGCCCCTGAAAGCATTTGCTCCTGGCTCTGACTATCTCGTGAGTCTCAAGACCCCTAGACCTGTACTCTTGCTGCCGCAAAAAGACCCATAAATAGGCTATTATGGACCCTGTATTCCGTAAGCCCGAAACCCAGCCTGCATAGAGAGGCAGAGAGCCTTGAGAAGCCGCCGTAGGGCTTCAGTCTGAGGTGCAATGTTAGGTCTGTTAGGTGTCGTATTCAGTGTTAGGGAGGATCTGACGCCTACTTTGAGTCAACAAGCCGGGATAGGGCTGATGATTGCACAGTTCTACTAGCTGTTTGCTATGGTACAAGTCCTGATGCAAAAAGCGGGTAGGCTTTACAGTTGTGGGCTAAAGCTTTGGGATGTGGTGCCTAGAGCTGAGCGTGCAGGGCTTGTCGGGAGCAGTCAAGGCGCACCCAGCCCCCTGAAACCTGTCGCTGCAGAATGGCTTTGAGGCTTTCTGCAACTTCTGAATGAGTATAGTATACTATACTACATAATACTACATATAACAAAGCTAGAAAAATACAATCAGTGCAAGTTCATGGCGCAGGATCGCGTGCAGGTCGTCCGTGCGAAAAGACGCCTGAGGGGATTCCAAGACTTAGCATCGACCCGCAAAAAGAGAACACTGTCGGAGTTAGCCTGTTTTGGCAAGGATTCTATATGGGATGGCAACCTGGTTCTATAAGGGTTCTAATTCTATGAGGGACTGCGCACTGCTATTCGATTGCCGATCCATTGCTGAGTTCGCCATGCAGCACGAAAGGCTAAGTCTCTGGGGAGCTGGCTAGGAAGAATCGATTCAGAGGGATGACGGAGCAGGGAGCCA